TCACTCAGGGGACACACAAGAACATACATAAAGGATTCCTACCATTTTGTCAGCGAGATTAAAGACCTACTTCTGACAATGAAACCATGGTCAGTTTTAATGTGCAGTCATTATTTACATGCTTACCTGTTGAAGACTGCATCCTACTAACTAGTCCCCCGGATTTGTTTTTTTCAGAAAATATTAAAATTACAGACTCTACTTTTCTACAGATTCATTATGTGTTTTTTTTTATAGAATAAGGAATGTTGTGGCCCATAGACATCCATATTTATCTTCAATTAAGAATCAATATGTAGATGCATTGCCAGCCCTGAGGACTGTAATGGAATGCCTCGTTTCCAGTAAAAATGGTATCCGTTTCTCTACACTCACCATACGAAACACAGCAGCATTAAGCTGCTATTTTACGCTGGTATTCTGTGAAAACGTGGACCTACCCAAGTCGAGCCAACCCATTCGTGCTGCAAGCACAATATAACTGCAGCATGGCTCTACCACGTGTATATAGATGTAATATAAAGATTGATGACTGCCTCGTTGGTCTAGTGGTTGTAGTAGTGCGACTGCTGATCATGAGGTCCTGGGTTCGAATCCCGGGCCGGACCAAAAAATTAATTATTGAGTTTTCCGTCAAGAAATTCTCAGTAGTTGCCCGGAGTCAGGAAGTTGGCGGTGTCCCACCCCCGTGCCTCAGAAAGCACGTAAAGCCGTTGGTCCTGCGCCTGATCTCTCTCCGGTCGTGTCGGTTTACCGTCCCATCGGATTATGAGCGTGAGGGAATAGAGAGTACACCTGTGTTTGCGCATACACTTGGGCACTATAATCCTGTCCTGCGCCGATAGCTAGCCTCCGTTGAGGCAGGCCGCCGTGGCCGAAATTCGGTCTGGAGGACATTAATCTAAAGATTTAAAAATACATAATGAAAAACATGTTTATTTTTATAACCGTAATTTATTAACTGAAGGAACGAGTATAGTTAATTTTATATTTTTTAATAAAAATGTGCTTGGTAACCCAAGTAAAGTAAGTAATAATACACCGCAACTTATATTCTTAATTTGGCTTTAGTAAATTTAAGTCAAAATCAGTGCAGAGGAAAGGAAAATTATAAATTCTCCCAATAAATTGTTAGTATTAATATGGCGACTAACCATAAAGCTTATGAAAATATGATTATCATGCAATAACAAAACTATTTGACAAATTAGAAATAATTAAATGGCGTGCCTTGCCATCACTCGGGATCGCTCGCTACGACTCGTCTCATGTCGGAACAGTGTCGGATTTTCTGCACAAATCACAGGCACTCGCCTGCATACGGCAAGTCGTGTCCACTTGTTAGTCGGCCAAGGCAATATGTTCACTTATTTAAACTTGGCCAACATGTAGACTGCTCGCTTGACCATCTTAAGCTACATCACCACTTACCATCAGGTGGGATTGTAGCTAAGTGCTGGCTTAAATAATATTAAAAAAAGACTGTAGCACTCGCCTTGAATCAATTTTTCCTACGCTCGCGTTGGTTGAGTCTTGGCCAACATGTATTACCGGCTTTACATCTGAGTTAAACCAAATATTATATTATATTCTGTCGAAAGCCATTAAGCCGGCTATACATGTTGGCCGAGCGAAGGCGAGCACTAACGTATAGATAGCCCATTTATTCAGCCTCATCATTGCTCATCGACGCTCGCCTAGCTGGCAGAGTGCATTCGAGCGCCAACGTGTATACGGTTTCGTTTGGCGTGCCTTGCCACCACTCGGGATTGCTCGCTACTCGTCCACATCGGACCAGTGTCAGTTTTTATACACAAATCAAAGGAACTCGCCTGCACTCGGCAAGTCGCGTCCACAAGTTCCGGTGAGATATTGTTAATTAAAACTAATTATAATATTCAGCATCCACCGCCTTCTTTTCTGTCTCTTCTTTTTGATAACCCTACTGTGGAGTACACTGAAATAGTAATTTAATGCACTCATTAAATAAATAGCAGAAGCTGCAGTAACTTCTACGTCATCCATATCGTTCCAATTCTCAACGACAACTAATTACGGCCAACATGTGGATAGCTCCACAAAACTCGTGAATATTGACCTTGGCAATGGTCTCTTTCGAACTTGTCCAACGAGTAGACTGTAGCACTTGCCTTGTATCGATTTGCCTACGCTCGCGTTGGCTGAGGCTTGGTCAACATGTATTGCCGGGGATAGATTTTTCTGGCATTTCCCACTGTCGCCTCTTATCTTACGACAACTACGGGATGAAATGAGCCGAGAGTCTAATAATTATGGCCTAAACAGGAATATTGAGTAATTGACTATACATATTTACTCAACACTTCAGTATGACCTGAGGAGGTAACCTGTATATCGGGCCGCGAGCAGTTATATGCGGCTAGCCCTCTTTGACCGCCCGAGTACTTAACCTAATATTGGGTAATTGCATTATGGCGGGAAATTAATTCACTGCCTCTCTGAGTTGCTCGCCTAATACGATGTATTGATACGTGCTTTGCGGTTAAGGGAGAATACATGTACGTGTGTAATGATATTGTCATTAAAGATGATGTTATCACCATATTTAATCATATTATGTTGAAATGCTATAAATCCTGAGCTATGTTATTTAAGAGTCGTGGTAGCTCAGATGGTTAGCGCTCGCTGTATATTTCACAGTACTCGAGCAAACCGGGTTCGATCCTTGCCAGCACCAATGAAATTGTTAGTTGCAATTTTAAGTGCAGATTTACCACGTGCTCGCCAAAAAAAAATTCTAAGGCATGTGAAGCTCGCCAACACGCATTGCGGCAGCATGGAGGACACTTACTTGCCCTAAAACCCTTTCAGAAAGAGGGGAGGCCTGTACTCAGCATTAGGACGTATATAGGCTGTAATTTTAACTAATTTGTTATGTGATAATTGGAATAAATGTATTTTTTTCTTTTAAATATACGGTGTTTACACATTGACTTAAAACAAAATATCAAGAGTTTTGCTGTAAAAAATTATCCTATTAGTATATAAGCTATAAATAAATGAAAATCTATGTTTGTTTGGTCGTTAGTTTTTCGAACACCCGAAAAAAAATAGCTGCACGAATTCTTTATAAGTTGGCAAAGTCGATTATGCTGTGGAAAAGAACGTAGGATAATTTTAATAACATTCATCAGTATGGTTTTATTCACATAGTAGCAGCATGACCTGATTTGCTAGCTTTTTTTACTTTTTTTACAAGATTTAGACCCTCAAAAACATAATTTCCTGGTATTAACGACCTATTTTGATCGAAATATTTTGTTAAAAAACTTTATATGTTACTGTTATGGATCTAAATAAAAACAAAAGGGCTTACAATTCATTCAATCTTTACCGTCTTTCTTATAGAAGGACTACGTGAGGTATAATGAAAGTTTTGCGTAACTCATAATTAAATCAATTTATATGTAAACTGCTAACTACTTATTTACTGCTTTTGAAAATATTCTCCATTACATTTTAACACTTTATTATTCAGTACCCGGTTGACCGAGCTTTGCTCGGTATTTTTCGCTCGTTTTTTTTTAATTCGTGTGTTTTGGAAATTATATTTAGATACAAATTACATACTGATGAAATACGAATAATATTTTTTGATCTTAGCGACATAATAGAAAAAACTGAACTGGTTATTTGAATAAAAAATCATGAGTGCAATTAGTTTAATTTAAATTTTCGTGTTTTTAAAAAATACTAAAAAAGGGCTCGAAAAAATAGATTTTCTCAGAAAAGAAAGGAACTTGAAATTAAACAAATTCGGTTGGTCGGTCTGGGCTCGAACCATGGTATTACGATTTTGTGACCGCCCAATATACCAATTAAGCTATTTGTAATCATTAATAAACTGTCAAAATTTACCTTCTTATTCTAACGATATTGTAGCAGTTTTTCATTGCCTAAGAACACGGACAAAAAGACATTTTCTAAAAATAAATCCTAGCTAGATCGATTTATATCCCCCGAAACTCCCTGCACACAAAATTTTATGAAAATCGTTGGAGCCGTTTCTGAGATTCCGATTATATATATATATATATATATATATATATATATATATATATATATATATATATATATATATATATATATATATACAAGAATTGCTCGTTTAAAGGTATAGGATTCAAACCATTTTTGAAAATATAAGGAACATTGGTCTGAGCGCATATGCTATTTGAAAGCTATCACGGTTTGTTCTGGCTCCGTAAATAACAAATCTCTCATGAAATGTTTGGTTTTCGGAATCACAAAAATTACTGTTTTGTTTGCAATTAGTGCGGAAACATTGTTATGGTGCAATAAGATGCGATGTTTTGCTCGTTTTGCCTAACTTTTTCAAAGAGCAGACCAAAGTCTTTTGCTCATCACGTGAGACAGGAGAATAGAAGAAAAAGAAAATTCCTAGGGCCCGCCTAGAAAAAAAATAAAGGTATAAAAAAGACAAACATATAGAATTTCTTAAATCTCAGTTAGAAACATTTAGTAAAATGAATAATATATATATAAAACAATCTCGGAGCTTGCAAGTTTAAACGACAAACAAAAAATAATTTAGACACACAGAGAAGAGAACAATCATTAATTGAAGGTCAGGTGAAGAGTTTTAAGGATTTCAAAACTCATGATGCTAAAAAAAATGTCAGGTGCAGTTAAACAACACATAAAACAAGGCTAAAAGGACGATGGGAACAGTAGCTTAATTAATGAAATCATTATACACTAAGAATTTCAAAGTATATCATAGTTTTTTACTGTTATAAAAATAAATATTACTTAGTTTCTTTCTTTTGTCAAAATTCAGACGTTTCAAAAAGTGGCTTAAATAATATAATAATGAAACATAATTCTAATCATGAGTAATAAAACACGTAACAAAATAAGCAGTTGATTTATATTAAAAATATATGTTGTTTTTCCTTATTTTTATAATTATTATAAAATAACAATAGCTCACATTTGTTTCAATGTTCAGAACCAGGCCTATAAGCTGTAACCCAAATATCTGCAAAACATACGCTTGAATGGAACCTGTAAAACATGATAAGGGGTAAGCTGATATGACCTAGTATTGACCAAAGTACTTTTCCATAGTACTCGTATCTCGCGTCCAATCTATCTGGAGATTTGTATGAGAAAGTGTTGAACAGCCACATCCCTACGTTTGCTATGATGAGGAACATATGTAACTCTCGTCCAGGCTTAGTTCTCCGCAAACTTCTGCTGTTACTGCATCGTCGTAGACCATCAACCAACAGTGTAGTTTGGATGATTACTTGGACAAACTGGAAAGTAAAAACAAACTATTTATTTTGTACATACTTTATACTTAACTTTATATAAAAAAAGACGTCACGGTAAGATAGTTGTACGTACGTTGTAATAGGGATACTACGCTATGCTTAGATGTTTGTACAATAAAAGGGGTAACTGTTACTTCATAAAAGTTATTTAAAAAGTTACGGTATTTAACGCACATGAATTGCATCTGAAAAACACATAGAACAAATGTTTGTATTTGTGTAAATACAAGAAACATTTGTACTTGTACAAACATGCGTTTCATACCGAATCTAGGAATCAAACCCGCGATTCACAGCGCTGCAGCAAATCTATTTGCTATTGCTCTACCGATTTATCAATATTATGAACATATTATAGGTGATATATATTGTGTTCATGCTTTTATGTACTATTAGAACTTTCCTATCAAGTACTGAAACAAAATTTGTTCCAATGTTTCTTTTTACAGCATTATTCATATATATTATTACGTCATAATGAAGCTTTGTACCTCTCTAAAAGTATATTGGCCGTAATAGTGCGAAATTTGACACAGATAGTCTATAATATGGAGGAGGAGTGCAGAATGCTAAGATTTATATATTGTTGTGGATGAGGGTAGAAAATAAAATAAAATATGGAGAAGGGAGGATAAGTGTAAATGTAATCTCGTTCTAGCTGTGTAAATTAAATATTAATTATTACCGTCGTTATTATGCTCGTCGAGGAAATTATTTTTGGTAAATTTTAAGAAAGTTATATGTATTAGGAAGACGCTGTTCTGTATCATATCGTGATTAGCAGTCCGTATTGCTGTTGGTTTGCACACTTCGTCTGTTTTAATGTTTACTTGGGGCGGGGTTATTTATGATATAATTTAAAGTTGTTACCGAGTCATTCTCTTATTTAAATAATTTTGTAAGTAATTTCTATGATTAAAAACTGGATATTTTCTTATAATAAAAATTACATTATGGATACAGATAATAAAATAAAATAGAACGTTCGGTCCTTCATTGTTTACAAATAAATTTATAATATTCGCCAACAAAATTATTCTTGATGAATTGACTGAATGAGCTGTGAATATTGTGTGATTTCGAAAGTTGCTTTTTCAATACTCTGCGGAGTGTATGTTAAGGCAAAAAGCGTTAATTTTGTTATTATTTTTTATTATGTTATTTTATTATTTTTATTTGTTATTATATACATTAGATATCTGTATTTATATTTTACTTTATGTTTTAATACACAATAGATTTCAAAGCGAAATACAGATTGCTTAATATACAAACATACATATATTACGATCGAATTCCGACCACTGTACGACCACTAGTTATATAATTAAACTCTTTCCGTGTTCGAAATAGTTTTACAACTTGAAGTTTTAATTATTCAGGCCTTAGAGCTGTCAATTAAAGTATATAAAAGTGTACTTAGTTGAATACAATGTCACATGAAAAATTATAGGTATATGTTACACGATTTTGTTCGGTGCTCGCTCTTTACGCATTTGGAAGAATCGAAAAGATCTTTCATGCGTTTCCGATAAATTCTTATACATCGATGATATGCAGTTAGCATTATTAAAATACAGTTAATTTGGATTGATAAAACAAGAGATTAGAAGAACTTAATGGTTAAGAGCGTGGACTAAAAACTTAAAATGTCGTGGGTTTGACTACGCCATTCGACTACTGTCCTGAACCTTTCCTTACATTAGCTTTTAAACTTACTTAAATCGAAAAAATGTTTCTCCAGATGAATATAAGGTAAAGTCATCTATTTCCGAGGTATTTTTAATGAAACAAGAAAGAAGATCGAAAATTAAGCATTTATTGTATCCTTTTGAAGGTTTGGATATTTTACCACAACCATAGGAATAATAATCCCCGTGGGTTTAGATCAAACAAGTTATTTTTATTTTTAATAATGTAATTAATTAACATGGTGTTGTTGACCAATTATGATTTTCTTTCACAGAAACTACGGCGTGAGTATTTTTTTCAGACGTATTACATTTGCCCTATTATGTAGATATGTGAATATTTGTGGGAATAGATGGATTGATTGCATAATAAGCACCCGTTCTCATAATTAATAAGGAATGAAATTAAAAATGGAACGCAACCGTGTTATATAATGTTTCTAAAAAGAAAATTTATTTAAAAATAGAACTCCATAAGCCAATTGCTCAATATTAAAAAAAAAAACAAAGTTTTATTAATTTTCCTGCAACGCTTCCCGCACTTTTCTTTTAAAACGATGGATCTTAACCGTGAATATTTGATCTATTATGATTTTTAAATTTGGTTTAACCGAACAATTAAGTTTACAACGGTTACAATCCGATAAATTACAGTAGAAAATTAGTGAATGAAATGCAAAAGTATATTTCGGAAAGAGATTTTAGTATCCAATGTCTTTTTAGATTTTCAAACCCAAATCGGGAAGGGCCTTATCATAAAAACTACCCTGAAAATTAAAAAAATCAAGTATCTAAAATCGCTATTCCGTGATATATATCAGAATAAGGAACCGGCTGAAATATCTTACATCTAATACCGCGTTATTTTCATTGCCTATTTTCACCTTGACATATTCAGAAAAACATACAAAATACGTACGTATAACGTAGTTTAACTCAAATAATTATACACACGAATTAAAAATAACTATAACATCACTATTTTAAAAACATGGTACTCACGCGCACGAGGTCCAAAATGTATGAAGCGTTTGTACAGACCAGCTGACGACGCATAACTAACAAATTCTTATAAATTATATAAACATTACTTCAGATCTTTGATGATATTACTAAGGCAACTTAGATCATCAATTCAATAAAATATCTTGCAGTAAAAAGAGCTTGAAAATCGTTCGTAAAAGCAGTTTTTTTTAAATATCTCGGAATATGGTACCAATTTTAGAACCCCTCGGAATTAGGTGCCTTTAACTTAACAAACATATTGAATATTACTAACCATAACTGCAAAATCAACGGTTTTAACGATGTTCTGCAAACTTATTGTAGCAACCATTGACAGAACTGTTTCCATGACGAACGCTGGTAAGCATATGAAGAGAAGCACGTCATCTAATAAGGACATAGGGTGTTCATTTATATCCAGCTTTATTGTTTGATTGTAAGCTATGACTGCGGCAATTAGCATTACGGTGTGCATAAACAACTTAGTGCAGTTATTAAGAAGATAGCCCATTTCTAAGTAGTTTCTGGAATAAATTCATCTATGTTAATTAAAACATGCAGTTGCAAGATGTATAAAAATATTTTTTCTCAAAATGTCCCCAGTTCCTGTACGTGGTCCACCGATGACTTTGAAAGAGAATCATAAACAAAGGTTTGCTAAGAACCACTAAACCACACAAATGATACCAACTGATTACAAAATATCCAAAATTCCTCTTTAGCATCATTATTAGAGTCCATGATATGTCTACCGCTGAAAATAGGTCCATCAGCTAAAAGTTTGTTATAAACATCACGCTTTATGATTACTCCAGTAGACTGTCTTGTCCGGATAAATTCTAATGACTCACTCCATGATCATCGATGATACTCATGATACAATTCACTCTTTGATATATGGCTACCATTCAATAATCTTCCATACTTATTATAACCAGTGCTTGACTACACTCTTACCTCGTGGTAAATGGTAACGAAGGCCAAACGATAGCAGATTACTCCACTCCTTTGCTGTACGCATTATGAAAGACAAAGCAAACTCTTTAATTTAAAAGCATGGAATATCGAAAGAAAAGGGGTTTAGCACCACTAAACACCTCCGTTTATTTAATAGTGGAAAGGAGAGGTAAGTATTATTTATGAAATTTCAAGTTACCCTGTTAGCTCGCGAGGCCACGTAATATGACACTCCCGTTCGCTCGCGACCGTAATGGCGGGGAAAATTTGCAAATTAGCAAATTTTTTGCTATATTGCAAATTTTGCTATATTTTCACTTTGAGACAATATTTATGGATAAAACTTACAGGAATTCTTGTTGAATGTATAAATATTGAATAAAATTATTTTGGTTGCTAGGAATTATAATTATATATTCATAAATTACCCTTTATAGCATGAGTATTAGTATATACTTCACTTTTAGTGCCAAAATTACTACTAATTTGAATGCTACACTTTTGTTTTTGGAGAAATTTATATGAAAATGTTTGGAAATATGTATATTTTTATGTTTTATGTGTTTCTATTCGTTACTCATACCAAAATATTAAAATATTAAAAAATTAAAAACAATAATAATAATAATATTTATCTGTATGACATTTCGAACAATATTTCAAAAATATTTTTGTGTGAATTTGAAATAAATACAACGTCAAGTTATTTGAAATATGTAAGAAAACTATTTTTACTTACATTTTACACTAAAAATAAATGAGAATTGGAAAAATAACACATTTATGACCCAACCGCCAAAATGGGCGTTCCGTATTTCGAAGTACTTTTGGCAATTTACTTTTCACTTTTTATACCACAAATTATATATCTACGTGTTTACTATATTGCAAGGAATATAAAAAAGTATAATACTTTCGTTTTTAGTCCAGACACAAATATAAAATTCTATAAAAAAGACGGAGCACCTTCATCAAAGCGACACGTGGAACGCCGAAAGTTCAGAGTGATTTTTTTTTTTTTCTAAGAAACATTGCCAGGTTATGGTTTAAAATAAAAGAGCATATATTTGTCTTTGATAGTATTATGTATTGCATAGTGTCTTTGGTTTTGTTTTAATTAAAAAAATTCTTTTTCAAAGGGTAGTACTTGTTGTACACATGTGTACCTCTATCGAGCGAGCGGAAGGCGTGTACTGTCGGCGACTTTACAGTCTACCGCTCTCCAAAATAACAAGAGGCTAGCTACTCTGTACTTGTGCTCGAGGCTGAAAAGATGGTAAAAACCAAGTTAAGGTTACTAAAAAGCCTCTTAATACGTCTATATACTAAGTCTAACGACATTATGTGGCATTTTGCACCACCAGCCCTAAATGGACGTCGGTACTCCGTGCACGACTGGACTTCCGCTTTATATAAGGCTATGACTCCTAGTTTTCTTGCGGCTGCTTATTAAATATATTTGTAATCTAGGTATTTTATATAGTAATTGTATAGAAATTCTGAGAAATAATGGCTTATTCTATATTTTACCGATATTTTTTCGATTCTATTCAGATAATATCTCGGACGTCAGTTTGAGCGAGGTTGGATTTGCTCTCTAGCACCTTCTAAAGGGTAAGGCTTAGGGTGAAAATAAAATTATTCCTAAAAGTGGTTGTAAACCCGGGAAAAAAATTAAAATGCTCTTCACCTCCGTCCTTCATGGTGGCATTACTTCGGAGGCGTGGAACCAGAATGCGGTGATCTTACTCTTTAATAACACTTTATAATCGAAGAACAAAGGTAGTACAAAGTCCGAAGATTACTATTTGCCACTTTGTCTTGCGTAGCTGGACCATGATAAAGTTTTTGAAACTGTCGAAATTTGGGATTTAATGCAATCACTTCAGCGGTGCCCAGCTAGAGATGAACAAATGGGCTACGATTACTTTCCGAGTTCCAAACCTGTCCAACTGCAAAAAGGTGTAAGACTGACTTATGTCCCTGAAACTCCTCGTTGCTTCATTGGAATATGTTTTCAAGCAACTGGACTGGAAAAGATACAGTATATGAGGAGTATATCGTCTTCGATTTGCGACGATAAATTCATCACAACAGAATCAATATAGGACTTCAGCACTATGTATTACCTCAGTAGTGTCTCCCAACTGATAGGGCTTAAGATGAAAAAGGAGAAGACCAAGATTATATGTAACGTCTATGTTACACTTATGCCGATATTTATTAAGAAGATAATGTACAGTGATGGCATATGAATCTGGGACGTGATCCTTTACTGCTGGTTGTATGAAGAAACCCAAGGTCGCTTAAAGAGTGGTGGATATTGCAACGCTCGGAGTTTCTCTGTGGGATAGAATTCGTAATGAAGACATCGACAGTAAAAGCAAAGTAACTGGCATACCTCAACGGATTAGTAAGCTAAAGTGTCAACGGGTCAGCCATATAGCTCGAAAGACCGATAACCGATGGGAAAGAAAGGTTCTCGAATGGCAGTCGTCGTATGTCGATGATACAGGTTGCTTAGATTTATTCATCAGTTGACTTATGACATGCTATAATGATGGTTATAATGATGGTGATATCTTACTGCACATAAAATAACTAATTATGGCGTACATTAATATTTCTGAAAATCCTGCGCTTTCCTGAATGGCAGGGATTCAAAAAAGTTGCTCAGACTTCTGGCTAAAATTTTTAAAAATGTTTAGCTTATCACTTTTGATTTGTGAAACATTTGGGTTCAATAATTTAAGATATTTACTTACTCGTCGACGCTGCTGAATACAAATCCGATAATAAGCATTCCTAATAATAATACAATTAAAATCAATCCCACGAATAGCCCCTTGTTCGAAGCGTGACAGTCGGCATAAACTACCATATTGCTTGTAAAATCGTTTTCTTCACTTGCTGTCGGTATTCTGAAAAAAAAAGGGTACGTTTTAATAATGTGTTTTTAAACATATCCTATTATAATTAAAATGTTACCTACTTGCATAAAGAATTCTTTTCGTATAAGCTGGAATCAGTTTCTATATTATCTGCATTATTATTGCAACTTCCAATGTGCGTCCAAATGATGAAGTAAGTAGCGACTAAAAGATAAATTGCGTTTAATGTTGAAGTTTTGATATTTTTATAAAAATTTAAAAAATATATTTACCAATAAAGATGTTGAATTCTACGCTAAATGGGTATAAGTATGGTGATAAGTTTTCAATTATAGATATAATAGTAGCCGAACCCTGACAATGTTCATCATACAGATTACTGACATCGAAAATTCGACTTATATCGTTGTATTCTGAAAAAAAAAAGTTTTCAAAAATAACACTTAAATTTTTAGATGTTGTTTTTTTCGGAAGTTACAGCAGTGAATTTCAATACCTGTTACGTCGTTAAGACTGGTTTCATTTGCGTATGTTGAATTTCCATATTTAGAATTTGCATACAAAGTCAATGCCAATATAGTTTCGCGTACAATCGTCGAAATCCAAAAGCAAAGACTACTTCCAATCATGTGCATAAAACCGAAATACGCAAAGCCCTGTTTTTAGACAATTAGATATCAACAATACAATACAGGTTGAAGAAACTAGCAATCAATTATTTCATCTAAGAAATGTGCTTTGGATTTACCTGTCCACGTAAAATAATTATATTAGAATATTTAAAAATGAAATAAAGCTGCATGAATGCATATAAGGGATTTATAACATCAAGTACTAGTTGAGATAAATCTATACAATCTTGATTATTAATATCTTCATCTGTGAAATACTTTATTTGTAAAGTTATCAGTAAGACTGAATGTACAAGGTGGCCCAGAGCAAAACCTGAAAAAAAAAAAACATTTTTAAATAAATTTAAATTACTGCATTTTTACATTTGTATACGAAAAAAGACCGAAATTTGCGGCACCCCATTTTAATGTAGACAGTTAATCATTGCTCTTACAAAAAGATAAGTCGTATTGAAGGAAATACCTTAACGTTGCATTGGAAAAAATGTTCTCCTAAGTAGCGATCTACATAACGGTGATGCTTTGACTACAAATTTATGTGTGTAATCGCAAAAAAAAAAATTCAACAGAACTGCAAATCAACAATTTTAAGATCATTAATGTTTACGGACTTCAAATGTCTTAACAATATTTTACATATAATTTTATATGTTGTGTGGAAAGAGTTTTAGGTGTGAGAGAGCATTTGAAATATACAATAAGAGTTCACTTATATAATTTATGGCATTACCAAATAATGCAACAGGTTTACTCAAAACTGGAACTGATTAATGTTTCTGCAATATTTTTTGAATGACCAAATTAGACATACAAAAAGAAAACCACATATATCATTCATAAGTATAAAAATAACCACAATATTCAAATAAAAGTGTGCTAAAATTGTTATTTCAAAATAATCTTACTTTCTAAATTAGCAACAAAATCCCAGTTTTTTGTGGTATTCTACTACACTTACACAAATTCATATAAGGTAAAATTTAAAGACTAGCACACCGAACTTGATTTCATTAGAAAGCAGGTAAATAATTGAAAAGTGCTAACTTATCACGTGCTTGGTTTTGAAGATGGATGTAAACCTGTAAGAGTGAAAAATAAAAAAATAAAAACATTAGGGACATGCGAAGTTTACTGCCCCAATGTGAGTTAAATTGGGTCAGAGCGGTGGACCTCTTTTTACTCTAAAACTCCCTCAGTAATGTTTAGTAATGAGACGTATTTATGCTATTACATAAAAAAAAACAAATACTACTTTTATCACCCAACTGTTCAATTAATAAAAACTGAATTTTTAATATATAGACGCCTGCCTGTAAGTCAAAAATCGTTTTGGCTATATTAACTATATTGAGGCAATGTAGAATATTTTATTTATTTTATACTTTAACCCAGTATTCTTCCCAACGATATCCTGAATCGAAGAATAAAAATATTGACTTAATAGTTTAGGAGCTAAAACCGTTATGTGGGAGGATTCTAGGCCAAATTCAAATTAGCAGGTTCTACCCGTAAGCACTAACAGTCTGTGCTAGAGATGTGATTTCTGTTTCAACATTAAGTGACTACTGTCATATCCTGAATATAAAATGTGATGTCAAAAAAAATTGGGATCTCGTCGGCAAGGACACTATAATTGAAAATATGTTTCATAGACACTGCATTTGTAAACATTGAAAATAATGATCATTATTTATAAAATGGAGTATTTCTTACCAGCAGCACCAATTTTAAGGTAAATGCTGCCTGAATGCCGACCTTGACTAAAACAATAATCATGGTTCACAGGAATAAGCGGAGCAGGCGGAATTCCAATTGATCTGTAGCTTTCAGGCGTATGGGCATCTGATCCATTGGTTCCGAATTCCTTAAAAAAGTTTATGTCATTAAAAGTTACTTTTGGTAGAATCATAAGGCTATATTTATTCTAGCTCAATGACTTGTCTTATGTTAATATTGTCTGCAATGGGATAGGGTTAGAGATGAATATGTATGAGACGAAGATATGGTTTAACTTTGAAGTCCTAATCCGTTAATTGCTAAGAACACTGCGCTCGAAGAGGTTGACGAAAGGTTATGTAATGCATCTTTAACTAAAAAGTCTAATAAATTAAACGCAATATGGATAACATTTTATAGGTCTGGTTTAATAAGTCGAAGTGGCAAAAATGTTTAGTAATTTAGATCTATGAAATTACAATCAAGGGCAAAGGGAGTTTTTTTATAGGATAAGGGTGACAAACGAGTATGCAGTCCACGTGATGGTAAGTGGTTGCTGTGGCCCATAGACATCTCTCCTCGATTACGAATCAAAATGCAGATGCGTTGTCACCCGTAAGGACTAAGAGAGAATGCCACCAGTAAGAAGGTTCTTCGGTTTCACTCACAATATGACTAACAGCAACGTTAAGTTGTTGTTTTTTTTTTTTGAGAGAAAGCACAGGGTAACAGTCCAGTAAGTGCAAGGAGTTAATAATATATGTAAGTAGTTGATAACCGCACTTTGCGGCATATTTTAGGGGAGACTTTTGTCCAACATTGCACTTATAATTGTGATGATGTTGTTGGAAATGACGAAAATCTTTGTCTTAATTGGCTATCGATAGTACGATTAAACGATCTGATTTCATCGCACGACGATAAAGATCGTGCGTGTTCGTGACGCAATGCCGCCGTGCCGTCAGAGCAACGGCGCCATTTGAACAATGGTTGTTTACTAAGATGCACCGTTTTTTACTCTCTTAGGTCTTGTAAGTCTCTACTCATCACTAATTCGGCTTACCGGTGTCCTTGAGATGACTCGCGACAAATTAGGATACTCAAAAGAGATTTGTAGCTTTGATTGCACGATCGCACGATCAAACCCACGCCTGGTTACGATCGTTATTAAGCATCACTTGCAAGCTTCATTTAGGACACCAAAGAAATATGTGTGTTTAATCCCGTCGTGCGACGAAATCGCATATTTTGCTCGTACGATCGTTGCCGATTAGGACGAAACCTTAATCTCTTAAAAAGTATAACTCGCCCTTAATACCAATATTTGGCACGATCTTTAATTATTACGTTTATGTTATAGAACATATAGTTGTCTTTTTTAAGTTGGAAAAATGTATCATAACTGATCGGTAGGATCACCGTGTGGTGGCAGTAAGAGGCGACACAGGAAAAAAACTGGAGATAAGCAGTTAACATCTTTCTTATTACAACCAAAAATATTGAAGTTGACAACCCTCTTACCAAGCGTGGTATATGTGGCAAATATCTCCTCTATGAGGCAATCTATGGGGGAGGCCTATGAGGAGAGCTGTGCACAGCAGTAGACTTTTGATAGCTGGATAGGTAGGAAGTCTTTAAGTCGTATCGTAGCTGTATTGTGGCTATTATATGGACAGAAAAGGATCATGCTGTCACCGTATACTGGTGACGTGAATCAGAGACTCTTTTAATTGGTTATAAGCACCTTCCACCACCACCTTCGCTTTCAGAGGTGACAAGGTAACTTTATTATATATCTCGCTTTATACTTTTTAATCGAGGTGCTTATGATTATCCATTTACCGTCAGGTGGACAGTGTGTCTGTTTATCTCTCTTGCTTGAATAAAAAATATCATCGATTTTCTTCACAAATTAAATAATGAGAATATAAGAATTTGGGATATCTTATCGCCTCACTGGTAATACTATTATTTATACTGGGTGATTTTTTTACCGTCTGGAAGAAATAGGTGCAACAGGTGAACGAAGTAGAAGCCTATAGCACTGATATTATGCAGATTTTTTATTTTATATTAACATATTACGAAGTTAATCGATCAATATATACTACTAATTTGAAATAAACTTTCGGTACTAAAAAATAACAAAAACATTTCTGTAGTAAATAAATAAATCAAGTAAAAACTCAATCATTCAAGCTCAGTATCAATTTCATATGTTAATGTAAAATAAAATTAAAATTGTAAAATATCGGTGCCATAGGCTTCTATTCCGTTCACCTCTTACACCTTATTTTTTTCCAAACGGTATGAAAATCATTCAGTATAACCAATTTTATTAATATATAATTTGTAGTTATATTATTATATAACTACAAATAATAGATTAATTCTTTACATCACTTTTTATTTTTCTTTAAAAGTTTACACTACAAATATCAGTAAAAAAATACGTACTTCACGTTTTCTGTAGTATTCAGAGATTCTTTCTTGATGGAATTCTTTAATTTTTTTGTTCTTTTGTATAACATTCTTATATCTATTTATGTCAAATATCAAATATAGGAGATACGCGAAGCCCATGACTGTAAGTATAATAGAGTAAATCTGAAAGGTGTAATTAAATTAAGTTTAATATAATATATTTAAAGATAATATTTTACGCAAGTAAGTAAGGTAGAATATAATTACCGAACTAATTGCGGGTTCAATAAACAGATCACCTAGGTAGACCATGAGACCCAAAGTTACAAGTAGTACGGCATATATATTACTTAAAATCAAGGCCATATGTTTTCTGAAATACAAATTCCACGTATGAAAATTTTGTACATGTACGATTATTTGTTCTTGTGTTAGTAAGGAGATACTACATTTTTAAAAAAATTATAAAAAAGTTGACGGGCTGTAATGATGATGACTATGATTCAGAGTGGAACTTGCCTGCTTAGGAGTTGATCAGAGTAGGTACGACTTTATTACTCGTTTCAGAGCAATGGTAATTTTACTTAATTTTGCATTCTGAACCGGCATATTATGGAGGAATGGTATAATCAGAGGTGAAGAACCTCAACGATACCTCCTGTTTTGAATATTTGGCTGTAGGTATCAGAGGCTGCAGAAGATGGTCAGTGAGCTGTTGGTTTGTTCGTCCTTTCAATGAAAAACACTTATATACATACATACTCGTACATTCATTAACTTTTTTGCCTATCACCCCGATGTTTAGCCAGAGATTATAGTCTTTTATTAGGCAAGATCCTGACATACCTCTTTGGATCTTCTTTCACATCCGATAAATATGCATGCATGCTCGCGGTTAAGAGTCCTTTAAATTTGGCCCAATACACAATCAATTTGGTTGATAAACTTACGTCTAGGGCATCCTTTGCTGACTCTGTTGACTCAGCATAAATTTGCTTGGTCACTATTTTCGCATTCATTTGTTTCTACATGTTCAAACCAACGAAGGACTGTGAGTACTGCAGACACCTGCATCTGTCTTCGGTTAGAAATCAAAACCTTGACCTTTGACCATTGAGGATTAGTAGTGAATGGCTCGTTATAAGCAAAAAGGGTGTGTGGTTCTCGTCACTCCCATACGAAACAGAGCATCATTTTCACAGGTATTCCGTGTAAGCAAGTATCTTTCACGATCGAAGTGAGTCACTCGTGCCGCAGCAATAATGCAGAACCTCGTGGCGCTTACTCGTAAAAACACCAGAAGGGGACAAAGTTTATTCACAGCAAGTTTGTATTACAAATGTGTGGATGAATAAACAGATGTGTTTAACTTTAATCAAATAAAACATTCTTATCTTAGATTTTAATTTGTTTACGCTTTTTTGACCATATCTTAATTCTCTTGTCTTAAAAAATATGTTTGCCTTTTATATATATTAGCATAGAGCCGTGGTAGCTCAGATGGTTAACGCTCGTTGTAAATATAACAGAACGCGAGTTACCCAGGTTCGATCCCCGCCAGCACCAATGAAATTGTTAATTGCAATTTTAAGTACTGATTTACCACGTGCTCGGCGGTGAAGGAAAATATCGTGAGGAAACCTGCGTGTCTGAGGAACTTAAGAAAAAAATATTTCGAAGACATGTGAAGTTCGCCAACACGCATTGGGGCAGCGCTGCGGACACTCGTTGCCATTACTAAAACCCTCTCAGAAAAAAAATGGGGGGAGGCCTGTGCCCAGCCGTGTGACGTATGTAGGCTGTAACTTTACTTTACTTTATAGATATATTAGCATGTGTTTAAAACTTTTCTTTTAAGTAATTACGTACGTAATTACGGATTAATAAGCGATTATTATTTGACGTATATACTCTTCAACTTTTTTGAACCTTTGTATTACTACCTAACTGTATCTTAGAAACTTTGATTTTTTTAAATTATTGCGCAAAAACTAAATAATTCTATAAAACCTGAACACACGAATAAGTGCTGTGTGAAGACAGAAACACGTAAATATTTCAAAAATCGCAGAGATTTCATAAATTATTTTTAGGTCATGTTGAAAATACATTTTATAGGGTAGTTATGATTGAAATCTTATGAGAAAAAGGAATTAGAGTGCACAAGTGCTCGCCGAATTATCTTTTCTTAAATTCTTTTACTCTAAGTTCTCTCCGCTTTTGTGATTTTCGATTGCAAATTGCGGGGAGTGGGGCAACGATCGCATACCTACGTACTGTACTACAAGACGGTCTTAATGTATAAAATAAGACTTAATGATTATTGTACGATTGCATCGAAAAATTTGGCTTACGCGGTGAGACGCTTGTTGTCCTCTGGACTAGTTGGCGGCGGTGCCTGAGTCTCCATAGAACGTAAAGACTGTGCATCCATGGTAGTGACAGAGCGCTTTCGGGGAGTTGTGCCACCTCGCATATCATTTGTTGTGTATATGCGGTAGTTATCTGGAATCAAGTTTAATTTGATATCACAGCTACCCGTGCAGATAAAACATGAGATTGGAAATGACGGCTCATCGAGCCCGTACTGTCGCCATACGCGTAATAAAAAATGTTATATCGATATTAAAGATGTTAAAAATTTATTAGCAAAGATCCACGTAATAAAATAAAATGACGTGTCTTACCTAGTTTGAAGAGCACCTCCCTCCCTCCCTCAATTGCGTGCACTAATCCCGTCATCACTAATCAACAACACTACACTAGGAAAAACACACCACTGTCGATAATAAGACACGTGTTTCGCCTCAACACGAGGCATCCTCAGGTGAAGTACACTCTGCTATAGCGAACCGCTAAGTGACTATTATTATTACTCGTATTATCGAGTGTGGTGTTTCTTTCCAAGTGTAGTGGTGTTGTTCTGTGTAGGATTTTGTGGTCGTTACCGTTGGGTGTGAAGACAGTAACAGTACACAAGCGAGAGATGGATAGAGGTGACGCTAATGTATGGTTCAATCATTCTATTCAGCTTAATCACAATTAAAAACAAAATTCATACACTCTCCAAAGGTCAATAGGTCTCTTACTCAGCAGGTCCAGAAAAGAGTTCGCCTCGTAACTTAAAGGCACTCAGCTGTAGTTTCAGTAAGCAGGTCTAAATTTGATCACACTAGTCGGTTCCAATGAAATTGTTGCAGCTTTATGTGCTTTGTTAAGTAGTATTACATGCTCAAAAATGTAAACAACAACAATAAACTTGCGCGCCCGACATCCCTGGAACTTGATCTCAAAACGCGCGAGATATATTTTTACAAACTCATAGTTAACTCATTACATCAAAAACGAACCGAGCAGAAATTTCGAAGTTATTATAAAAAAAGCACTTTTTTAATAACTTTCTTAATGATAACTTTCGAACGAATTTTCGAATTTAGTATTTTAGAATTGATCGTTACATCTGTTTAAAAGTTATTATAAAGAAACATTTTTTAGAAAATTTTATTTTTGAAATTTCTGTAAATCTACTAGTCCTAATCGGTTATAATATTATTGAAAATCTAAGTGTGGTAAAACCCTTTCGAACGCCATCAAGTTCGTTCAAATCGATCAAGCCGCTCAAAAGTTGTGAGAGGTTTATTATCGTAAATAAAATTCAGCCAGATATTGCATCGTTATAATATTGTTTTTGCGCCATAATTGATGTCTGGTATATGGCACTAGCACCATCTAGTATCGAGTAGCAGAAATAAGAGCGTCAAGATCTTTTTTGAAAATTCACTAGCGCCATCTAGTATGGAGTAGCAGAACTGGGAGAGCTTTATAGAAAATTCGATGCTAGAACTTTCAAACTTTCGAAATTCTACTCGAACATTGTAGATGTTTCAGTAGAAAAGGCCCTATATAAAGCCGTTTTTAGCCGCGACCGGGAGTATTGAATTGACGATACAAGCGAGGACTTAGGAGCGAAATAAAGTGTTAAGTGTGACTAATTATTAGCGTGTTTTTAGTTTTAATTGGTGCTCGGTACGAACCCTAAGCTCGTAACAATTGGTGTCAGAAGTGGGATAAAATCGTGCTGATTTTACCTAAGGACGAAACGGAGTGTATCCGTCCCCGAAGTCAACGCCAGCAGGAGACGCACCAGAGAAGATTTGGAGGTGCAACGCCGCAGACGTCTGAGGGCCAGCCGTCGGACACGAAGGCCGGTCCGTTAGCAGCTCCTACATCTGCATCACCTGACTTAGATGCTCTGATGATGATGCTGCAGGAACAGGCCCGCCGAGTGGAGGAACAGGCCCGTCGCTTCGAAGAGCAGCTGCAGTGCGGACAATAGGAACAGGCCCGTCGGTTGGAAGATCTGTAGGCGCGGAACAGAACCGCCAATTGGAAGAACAGCAGCGGGGCGGACAAGAGGAACAGGCCCGTCGGTTGGAAGATCACCAGGTGGAACAGGCCGCTGATTGGAAGAGCAGCTGCGGGGCAAACAAAAAGGAACAGGCCCGTTGGTTGGAAGAGCAAATGCTCCTCATGAAGAACTTTTACGCTACCTTCGGGAAAGAGATAAGGGAGGTGAAGGATAGGGTTGCTTAACATGACAACCGCCTTTCGGAAGCTGAAACCCGAATCGACCAAGTAAATAATCGGGTTGACAACGTGATGGCTGACGTGAAGAAAACGCTGTACGACCTCAAACTTGGGGATGGAATTACAGCTCCTGTAGTAGCTACAACACCTTCGCTACGTAGATTCAAAGTGCCGCCGTTCGACGGGACTTTTTCCTGGTCAGCCTACAAAATCCAGTTCGAGGCTGTCACGGAGGCGAACGGCTTGAATAAAAGTCAGGCCATGACTGCACTCACCTTAGGTCTGCGCGACCAAACCTTAACTGTTTTGAAAGCTTTCGGTAAGAACGTGACTTACGAGCAGCTCCTTGAGGCATTAGAGGCGAGATATGGCGACGCTCACCTGGAACACGTTTTTCGTGCGCAACTTAAAGATCGCGTGCAACGCAGCAACTAATGCCTGCAGCAGTGGGCCCTTGAGGTAGAGAAGATGATTCGTAAAGCATACCATTCTGTACCTGCGCTCATTAAAGGAAACCTGGTGCAGACATTCATCGGCAGTATCTGAGACCTTGAAGTCAGAGCTGCTGTGAGTCTCAGGCACCACGAGACGCTTAAGGACGCCTTGGCCCATGCACTGGAGTTGGAAGCCGTGAGGCAGGATCATCGTTTCCATCGCGTCAGAGCGGTTGCGGCAGCTACAGTTCGCGACCGCAATAAAGGATATAGCTCTAAGTTCTATGGCTGTGAAGAAAGGGGCCATCTTCGATCCAGCTACCCTAAACAACCTGTAGAAAGGGAAAGTGATCGATCTCTAGAGGGTTGTGTGGCGAACAGCACCACCCAGCAGCAGCAGGTATACGACTTTGTGATCGAACATTGCAGCGGGAAACTCAAATGGCAACGCAGATGTATTCTCAAGAAGACCTTGTCTTCAAGAATTCAAGTATTGTGCTAGGCAAGAGGATAAGAAAGTGGAATCTGTGAGGATACTCAGGACAGATCACCTCAGCAACGAGTGAAAGAACATCCCACAACATGCACAGTAGGAAGATTCGGACATTAAGCCGATTTTGGAATGGATGAAGGCCAGTGCTCCCAATCCCAAGTGGAGCGACGTCTCACGTCAAATTTGGTAATTTAATTGACAGTTTTTACTGTCACGAACCCTAAGCTCGTAACAATATGCATGTATCCACTTGATGACCAACTGAACTACATTTGAAGGCGGTTAAATAGAATTCAATAATATTTTTTAAATATATGTATTTAACGATATATCTAAGGTTAATAAACCGTCAAGTTGATTATTTTATTATCCGATTGGGTACATTTTCAAAGCGATCCACTAAATTTCAACCAAGTCCAAAGAAAATTGAAATTAGTCTCCTTCATAGCCAGCTTTGCATCATTAAGGGGAAGTTGGCCACAGCTATCACGCATGGCAAACGAGTTATAAAGGAGAAGATGCTGTCGCCTATCTTCCGTTTTATTTCCCTCTTTCGTATTTTACGCTACCCATGGGATAATATCGGGGATTCTTTAACGCCACCACAACACTGCTGAACTAATTTTTTTAATTAATTCTATGATTTATATTTACTATTTTGTTTCACTTAGTTATTAATTGTATTTGGAATGATACAGTTAAAACTGGGTCACTACTTACTTAGTGATTTTGAGTCTCCATAACCACGTATATTTCCATTGAAAAATAAAGGATTAAGATTGTTTCCGTCTCCTGTAAATTCGAAAAAATAACGTTTGTTAAAATTATATTAGTTGAGGAAAAAGTTTTCATAAAAAAAATGTATTCTAGCAGAGTTTTTCTAAGAGAGTAATAAAATTGAACACAGAAAGTTTATATTAACGTTGATTAAATCATTTACATGAAATACCTACTTTCACATGAAATACTTGAAATACCTACTTGTATTGTATTGTCATAAGTTCTATTACACAAAACATACATTTTTTAAAGAAACAGAGTAATAATATCAGGTAACCTCAGATATATCATATTCTACAATCTATATCGGAGTTTAAGCTATACATTAAAAATAATTTTCTTTTAGAGTATATCATAGAATTAACACAGCGTTCTTAATTTACGTTGTGTTTAATATATACATTCATACATATATATTTGAAACCTCGAAAGAATATTGAAAATTACATATCAAATTGTCGTGTTGATCGTACTTTATAGGTTTATTTTATATAACAAAATTAAAATCAAATCACGGAGATAATCAACAAAAGAAACCATTAGTTCGACATTTTCTGTTAATTAGTCCTCTAATGTAGATCACAGAAATCTAAATAATATTGCCTCAATATTTAGATTTCTGTGATGTAGATAGTGCGCTTATTACCTTTATGTAGTTCCTAAAGCAATTTTTTACTTCAATACAACAGAAAAACAACTCTTTAAAAAAACCTTTTTAGTCTTCTTTTAAATAAGTATATAACTAAATTTGTTAGTTTGCTTGTTATGTATAACAAATTTAATTTATTATAATTATCGCATTACCAACATGTGCCGTATTTAGTTTTAATTTTTAAATAAGTACATACTTAATATTGTATATAAGTTTAAAAGTAAAGTAAAGTAAAGTTACAGCCTATATACGTTCCACTGCTGGGCACAGGCCTCCCCTCATTTCTGAGACGGTTTTAAGGTAAGGAAGTGTCCGCCACGCTGCCCCAATGCGTGTTAGCGAACTTCACATATCTTCGAAAATATTTTTTTCTTATTTCTCAGACATGCAGGTTTCCTCACGATGTTTTGCTTTACCGCCTAGCACGTGGTAAATCAGCACTTTAAATTGCAATTAACAATTTCATTGGTGCCGGTGGGGATCGAACCCGGTTTGCTCGCGTATTGTGAAAATTACAGCGAGCGCTAACCATCTGAGTTAACTAACTACTAGCTAACCAGATAAGTTTAATTTATTAATATTCTTGTATTACCTACAGGTGTTCCAAAAGTTGTTTCATCATCTTTAATTGTCCTAGTTACAGAGTCCTGTAAAAAAAAGAAAATTATTCTTAAAATAAATGAAACCGTAGAGCATATTTTCATATTGAATTATTTTTAGGTACTTCCTAAAAGGGAGTTAAAATTGTATGACAATAATTGAAAGCTCTACAAAATCGGATTCAAAACTACATTAGTTAATTGTTTCTCTCTATCGATAACAGCCCGAATTTCGCAATAATTCTATTACGCAGTTTCCCAGTCCTTTGTGTTTTGGTGAAAAAAAAAATATTTTCTATAAAACTATCTTTTGAAATGATGTAACAATAAATATATTGCTATCGGTACATACTCTTTTTAAAATTCAAAATTGCAAGAACCATGATTAACTTTTATCATCTTTTTACATAAGAGTACACTACCAATAATAATAAATCTTAGACCATTCAATCAAGTGGTCTAAGTAATAATTACCAAGAAATATGTTTGCAAAAAGTTTTTATGGCGATATTATAGGTTAAAATGATAGGCAAAACTACGTATATAGGCCGTAAATTTTTAAAATTTTTAGGATACAAAAATTTCTCAATTTCATTTATTAAAATCGGAAAATAAATTTACTTATTTCTCTTTTACACTACACTTGTCGTCAAAAGATATGTTAAAAAAATCACATATCAGAACAAAACAAGTTTGGCATTTACGATGAAATAACAGCAATAAATGTTTCTTTACTTTATTACGAGTTGAGTAAAAATAAATAGATTGGATTTTCATTAGGTGAGGCGTTGGGGCGGCACGGTTCGCTGTCGGTATTTACAGGAGTGGGTCGAGGGCGAAATGGGTAGTTGTGGAGATGGGAAAGGGGTAAGGGTGGCACGCGGCCGGCTGGACTCAAAAGGTTTACAGTTCGATGCGCGAGAGTGACCCGCCTCACAAGCGGCCTCGCTTCGGCCGATCGGCACTATGGAACTGTGCTGACCCTTAACGACATAACTTCAACTTTTTATCATTTTATTTTTTCCTAAGTATATTGGGGTTTGTTATTGAAATTTTAAAACGAATTTGATATTGAAAAGTTAATTTATTTGATAACAACCAGGTCGCTCAAGGGAACTGCTTTAAGTATGGGAAATAATCTGTGTCTATACGTGTTAATTAATCGAAGAAAGTAATATTTAATGTATGTTTAATTTGAAGATTAGCACATTTTCCTGAAATAATTGCGATATTAAAATTATGTTTAACTAGTCTTATCCACAATTTTCTAATGCAAAAATCATTACAACCCATTGCGTCTATATAAATGAATTCGTTGTTTAAACTGCGGTCGGAGCTTAAAATAAATTTGCTTTGAAAGCATAGGAAAACAGTACCTACATCGCTAATATTATTGAAAAGCATTACGACATCAAAAACAAACATTGACCTTATCAATTTTTATACGGTTTATTAATCTTATTCTATTTTATTAATCTCAAATACCTATTTTTTAATACTTTTTGACATATAATTAATAAATAATTTCTTGATAACTAATCGTGACTATTTTATTCTCAACGTGTCTGTAATCAAAATTTATCGCTTGACTTAGATTACGTCATGTAAATAATTTAATTTATTAATTACGAGTAATGAAATATAGATTTGTTTTTAAAAAAACTCATATTGAACGTTGTTCAAATTAATGTTTTCATATTCTCTTAACTTAAAAGTCTACTAAAAATATACTATCTAAAAAAATTGCAGTCTACCAACTTCAAGCCAGGAAGGTTACGGAAATTATAGCGAATAATATTTAAAATAAAGATGAAGAATATACAAGTTTTGTCAACTCCGAGGACTATGACACTAGCTATTCATACCTTTCCCTCTGGAATATAGCAGTGTGATTTTTACTGGCAAGTACACTGCTGCTATACAAATCGGTAAGAGAATGGTAGCTTTCCAATCCCGATCGTAGGCGGTAAAGTAGGTTACCAATTATTTTTTTTATATACAGCCTATATACGTCCCACTGCTGGGCACAGACCTCCCCTCATTTCTGAGAGGGTTTTAGGGCATGAAATTATCCGCCGCGCTTCCCCAATGCGTGTTGGCGAACTTCACATGTCTTCCAAATATTTTTTTTCTTATTCCTCAGAAATGCAGGTTTCCTCACGATGTCTTCCTTCACCGCCAAGCACGTGGTAAATCAGCACTTAAAATTGCAATTAAGAATTTCATTGGTGCCGGCGGGGATCGAACCCGGGTTACTCGCGTTCTTTTATATTTACAGCGAGCGTTAACCAGCTGAGCTACCACGGCTCCAATTATTATTGGTACCTATTATAACAATACTCCACCATATAATAAACTGTGGCAGCCATTTTATGGTGCTGCAGTTATATTATGCACGAATGGATCGGTTTGACCTGGATAGGACCACGCTCTCACAAAATACCGGAGTAAAATAGCAGCTTAATGCTGTTGTGTTTGTCTCCGGTTCTCTACATGGTGAGTGTAGAGAACCGGAGACGCGTTTTATTGGAATCTAGGCATTCCATCTTACTCCTCAGGGGTGGCAATGCATCTGCATTTTAATTCTTAATTGAGATTAAAATAGATGTCTACGTGTTTGTTTTCGAAAGTCATTACGAATCATCTCGCACTCAGAATCGATGACTTCCAGCCCCCCGAACAAGCCGATTTCCGAAAAAACTTCATTACCATAGACCACATACATACCCTGCTGCAGATTGTATAGAAGACCGAAGCGTACAATCTATCACTTTGCATTGTGTATGTGGAATATGAAAAAGCCTTTGATTCCGTGGAAATTTGGGCGGTGCTACAGTCCCCTCGGCGGTGCCAAGTTCACTGTCGGAATATCGAAGTGCTTATGTGTTTGTATAGTAGGGCTACGATGGCTATCCGAGTACAGAACGAGAGTACGCAACCTATCCAACTGCAGAGAGGTGTAAGGCAGGATGACATTATGTCCGAGAAACTCTTCGCCGCTGCATTGGAAGACGTTCTCAAACTTCTGAACTGAAAAGGATAAGCTATTAGCATCAATGGCGATTACATCACCCACCCTCGATTTGCCAACGATAGAGTGCTTATGGCAAAATCGCTGGAGAACCTAAGCACTATGCTCAATGACCTCAATAATGCCTTCCAACGGATAGGTCTTAAGATGAACATGGACAAAAAAGATCACGTTTAATGTCCATGTCACACCTATGCCGGTAGTTGTTGGCAGCGTTAAGCTCGAAGTTGTTGATGATTACGTTTACCTGGGACAAATAGTCCAACTAGGTAAGACCAAATTCGACCGAGAGGTCAATCGATGGATTCAACTCGGCTTGGCAGCGTGCCGGAAATTACGACACATCTTTTTTGTCAGGTATACCTCAAAATGTGGAAACTAGATTGTACAACCAGTACGTGCTGCCAGTGACGACTTATGAATCTAAGACGTGGTCCTTCACTGTTGGTCGTATGAGGACACTCAAGGTCGCTCAGCGAACTATGGAGAGGGCTATGCTTGGGGTCCCTCTGCGTGATAAACTTAGAAATGAGGATAACTGCAGTAGCACCAGAGTGAGCTACATAGCCCAACGGATTAGTAAGCTGAAGTGGCAATGGGCTGGCCATATAGCTCAAAGAACCGACAACCGATGGGGAAAAAGGTTCTCGAGCGGTAGCCTCGTACCGATAGATACCAAAGTGTGGGGCTACCCCCCCACTAGATGGAGTGATGACCGGGTAAGACATGTAGGAAGTCGATGGATGCAGGTGCCTCCGGACCGTACTTTGTGGCATTCCTTGGGGGAGGTCTATGTCTAGCAGTGGATTTGTGAAGCGCTGTAATGATGGGTTTGTCACCCTTATTCTATAAAAAAAATTAGAAAATATTAGAGGTAATTTAGTTATTGAATTTTAGGTGTTAGTTATTATCTACTATCATTATATAATAAAAAAATATCTATTAATTAAAAACGGAATTTTAATTTGGCAGTAATATCTATAAAAATAGATGCACTGCATTCAAGGCAAATTAAATGTAAATCTCCTACGTGCACGATAGCACTGGACGCACATGTTTGTATTAAAAAAAAAACTATTTTGGATTTTCCATGGTTGAATTTTCCATTCCAGGCCATGATAGGTGTTTACCTAAAGCAAAGATTAGTACCTAATATGATACGAATAGATAACGAATTAAATGGCCTCTGTATTTTTTTACGTTATTTTTACAAGATGTCTTATCAGCTTTTTAATATACTGGCGATACACCCGGTTTCGCATGGGTGATTTATAGACCTCGACAACTCGCACACTAACGGCTCCAATTGTGAATCTAAGCCATCTAGGATTAGTTCAGTAACAGTCGCAGGTACAGAGAAATTATATCATCATCATCATCATCATCACAGCCCTTCACAAGTCCACTGCTGAACATAGGCCTCCCCCAAGTAATGCCACAAAGCACGGTCCTGAGCCACCTGCATCCATCGACTTCCTGCATATCTTACCAGGTCATCATTCCATCTAGTGGGGGGGTCGCCCTACACTACGCCTACTAGTACGAGGCTGCCACTCGAGAACCTTTCTTCCCCATCGGTTATCGGTTCTTCGAGCTATATGGCCGGCCCATTGCCACTTCAGCTTACTAATCCGTTGGGCTATGTCGGTCAATCTGGTTTTACTGCGGATATCCTCATTTCTGAGTCTATCACGCAGAGAAACTCCGAGCATAGCCCTCTCCACAGCTCGCTGAGCGACCTTGAGCGTCCACATACGGCTAGCAGTGAAGGACCACGTCTCTGATCCGTAAGTCATCACTGACAACACGCACTGGTTGTACACTTTAGTTTTCAGAGATTGAGGTATACCTGACGAGAAGATATGTCGTAATTTCCCCGAACGCTGCCCAGCCGAGTTGAATCCGTCGATTGACCTCTCGGTCGAAGTTGGACTTACCTAGTCGAAATATTTGTCCCAGGTAAACGTACTCGTCAACAACTTCGAGCATAGTGCTTCCAACAACTACCGGCATAGGTGTGACATGGACATTAAACATAATCTTTGTTTTGCCCATGTTCATCTTAAGACCTATCCGTTGGGAGGCACTATTGAGGTCATTGAGCATAGTGCTTAAGTCCTCCAGCGATTCTGCCATAAGGACTATATCGTCGGCAAATCGAAGGTGAGTGATGTACTCGCCATTGATGTTAATACCGTACCCTTTCCAGTCCAGTAGCTTGAAAACGTCTTCCAAAGCAGCGGTGAAGAGTTTCGGGGATATAACGTCACCCTGTCTTACACCTCTCTGCAGTTGGATAGGTTTCGAGCTCTGGTTCTGTACTCGGATAGCCATCGTAGCCCTACTGTACAAACACTTCAGCACTTCGATATACCGACAGTCAACTTGGCACCGCTGAAGGGACTGCAGCACCGCCCAAATTTCGACGAAATCAAAGGCTTTCTCATAGTCCACATACGCCAGACAAAGTGGCAAATTGTACTCTTCAGTCTTCTGTACAATCTGCCGCAGGGTATGTATGTGGTCTATGGTACTGAAGCCTTTTCGGAAACCGGCTTGTTCGGGAGGCTGGAAGTCGTCGAGTCTGCGTGCGAGACGATTCGTAATGACTCTCGACAACAGCACGTAGACGCGGCTCAGAAGGGAAATCGGTCTGTAGTTCTTCAAGAGAGCGTTGTCGCCTTTCTTAAAGAACAAGACCACCGCACTTCTGCTCCACGCCTCTGGAGTAGTGCCACCATGGAGGACGGAATTGAAGAGCTTCTGAAGGACTTCAAGTACCGGTGTTCCACCCGCTTTCAGAAGCTCCGCTGTAATTCCATCCTCGCCTGGGGCCCTGCCGTTTTTAAGGTGCTGGAGAGCCATTCTAATCTTGCTTAGACTGACGTCCGGGATATCATCGGAATAGTGTCGGATAAGACTTGCTCTTGGATCGTTACTCACACTTGCGTGTGGCTCCAACGATGATGTGTACAGCTGCCCATAGAACCTCTCAATCTCACTCAAAATCTCAGGTGTCCCGGAAACGATGCTGCCACACTCAGTCTTCAGCCTTGACAGTTGGCTCTTTCTGGCAGACAGATCTCTGGCAAAGACTTTGGAGCCCTGGTTCCGCTCGATCGCTTCTTTAATACGAGCAGTATTAAAGTTGCGTAAGTCTCGCCGCATGCATTTGGAGATCTGTCTGTTCAGTTGCCTGTATGCTGTCAAATCTGTTGACGATTGCAGCCTCATCTCCCGTCTAACAGCCATGAGATTAAGAGTGTGATCGGAGAGTTTTTGTGTTCTTCTGCGGCGGGTCTTGCAGAACTTAGCTCTGACCGCATGGACAGTTTCCACGAGCTTGTCATTCATATCGTCCACTGCATTGCAATCTTGTAGGCACTGAAAGCGGTTGTGTAACTCGAGCTGAAAGTTTTCGGGATTTTGGATCAGAGCACGAGGGGGACGGAGCGTTGACTTCATTAGACGAGACCTCTCCAACTTAACGTTTAGGTTCAGTGTGCCTCTAACCATTCGGTGATCGCTGCCAGTTTTCACCCTTGCGATCACTGAGACATCACTGAACAGTTGGCGTCTGGTCGTCATAATGAAGTCAATCTCATTTTTTGTCGAACCGTCGGGGCTCGACCAGGTCCACTTCCTGTGGGGCCGCTTCTGGAAGAAAGAGTTCATCATAAAGAGTCCCTCTTTCTCCATAAAGTCAGCCAGCTGCTGGCCCCTTCGGTTCCGTTGCCCTACTCCAAATTTCCCTAACTTCAGCTCACCGTTTTCTCTTGTGCCTAGTTTTGCGTTGAAGTCTCCCATCAACACCGTGTAGTGGGTTTTGGAGGAATGTATGGCTTTGGAAATATCCTCATACATTTCCTCCACCTCCTCATCGGAATGTGCCGACGTTGGTGCGTAAACCTGTATGACCTTCAGCGAATACCGTTTGGTGATTCTGAGTATCAGGTACGCGACCCTCGTCGACACACTCTCAATCTGTACAACGTTGTTGACGAGAGACTTGTGGACGATAAATCCGACACCTCCTTGGGACAGATGGTCGCCCTCCCGGTGATAGAACAAGTTGCCGGATTCGAGAATCACCGTGTGCTCCCCCTCTCTTCGGACCTCGGATAATCCTATAATACTCCAGCGCAACTTGTCTATCTCTTCTTCCAGCTCCAGGATCTTCTCGTCAGTCCTCAGTGTGCGTGCGTTAAATGTTGCCAGGTCGAGTCGTCGTAGGTGGCAACCGAACCTCCACCGGAGATTCTTAGCAACCCCTGCCCCGCCGTTACCATGGTCGCCACCGTAGCCAGGAATAGCGGGGCCGCCGGGGACTGGGGGCCGTCTATTTGTGTAATTGTTCATGGGGGGTATATTGCCATAGTTGCCACGCTTGGCGAGCGGGTTGGCAACCGCAGTTTTTTTTATTTTTTTGTCGTACAGTTGCTGTTATCAGGAAGATGTTGCTGTTATCAGGAAGATGCTGCTGCCCATCTCCTGCCTGTCTCCCTCTGTCGCCTCTTACGACACCCACGGGAAGATATGGGGTAGTGGATATTCTTAACCGCCATTACACGGCGTAAATTTGAAATTATATATATGAGAAATTATATATATATATATATATATATATATATAAGAAAAAGATTGGGTGATCTTTGGACTTTTATTCTATGTTGATGTTAGTGCTTAAACTTATTTATAGATTATTATATACTCTTACATCGCCACTACACGGTGAACATTTTGTAAAATTTCCTAATAGTTTTCAGTGGGTATTCTTACGTCGCCACTACACGGTGAACATTCTGTACAATAGATGATGATTTTTTAATTATTTTCTGTGGATATTCTCACATTACCTTTACATGATGAACATTATGTACGATATTATAATAATTTTCTGGAGATATTCTTACATCGCCACTACAGGTTGTATATTCTGTTCGATTTTTAATAATTTTGTACCGGCAACGATCACTTTGTGAAATCTATCGCGTAGCAGTTTTTCGCGACCAAAATGGCGTATGGACTATCAATAAAAGTGATTTTACCTTCCTCAAAGTTCGACAACACGTCTGAAATTACTCTCAGTGTTATTTTCAATCGTGAACACTTACCATCAATTGAACCATAAGCTCATACCTACTCTTAAAAAAATTCGTTACTTTGAGCATGTTTTCCAAAAAGTAATTTGCTATTCTTTATGTGGTTATAGGTATATATATATATATATATATATATATATATATATATATATATATATTTATATATATATATATATATATATATATATATATATGGGCTGCAGTAGCCACTTACCATCAGGTTGACTGTTCGTTAAGTTCATTTGTCAATTTAATTTTATAATAAAAAATCGCTCACTGTTGTGTTTCGTTTCAAATTTATAGAGACAGTATTATCTTAGTTCTCAGAGGTCAAACACACGGATTTATTTCTGTTTAAGGTAAAGAGTTGGCTACAGGAGTCCAAAGGCTGCAGTAAATAATATTATTGAACTAACAGTTCGTTTTTGTTATTTGTAAATTATGAACATCGGTCCATAACAACACTTAGCTTTTATTATGTTAGAATAGTAAACAAGCTACCACTTCATCTGATTTTTATCGTTTACCACAGATGATCAAAACTTGCAACTAACTTGAGAACTCAACATGAAAATATTTTTTATAACTGTTTCTTTAATGGCTCCCTCACCTTATAAATACGAACAGAGCAGTAAATATATTGACCTGTAAGTGCAAAAAGGAACCATATCGCATAGTAAATACAAAATATTGCTGAAAGGCTCTCACATTTCTCTCTAATTCACGGGCGTACATAACGCTTCGGGGCGGGCGACGACGTACCGCTCGAGCTGCGGTTGCGGTTTGTAAGCTTCCTGACGCCGGTCCAGGTTGAGACATGGTGCGTCTACGTCCTAGACTCTCGTCTTGATTTGAAACATCATTTACCGACAAATTCAACACCTAAAAGATAAAGATGATATTCATTTAGGAATAATAACACATAGCATTTAGAAAAATAATTTCAGGTTTTGCAAGAACAAAGATAGTTTTGATGGAAATACTACTACTTTTGTGCAACTAAAGGATTAATTAGGATAATGTGATAGCAAAGACATCAAAATTGTTTTAATTGATTGACGTGGCCGGTAAGCGTATCAGGGCTCGTTACCGAAATGGTGAAGGTATGCACAGAAAACGAACATACAAAGAGTTATAATTTTTTTGTCATTTCTATATCACCCGTTAAAATATAGTTGTAATTGAATTGTTAGATTCTTAATTAATTTACAAAAATTAAGAGGTTGTCAATTCGAGTATACATGTATATATATATGTATAAAACATAATATTTCCGACCTTAGTGATTTCTTATATGTACGCGAACACTACACATTTAAATAAAACTAGTTTTTATGGATTTTATCGCGTCGATGAATTTTATAACACGTACAGGATCGCCCCCGTCACTACATCAGATTTGATAGACCTCAAATCCTCGCTAAAGAACATCGATTTCATCCAAGGATGATTCGCGAGAATATTGAAACCAAAAAAAAACATCTTAATTTCAGAAGATGGCTGGGTGCTACCATCTACTTGGGATACTATAATTAATAAAATGAAATCCCAACCCAAGCATACAACTGCAAGACTTAATTTATTATAAGTTCGTACTGCGTAGATCGAAACAAAAATTCAAATAAATAAATATTTTAATCTGGAGATAGCCGTGGTTAACTATGACATTGGGACGCCGACCACCTTAGCACCCCCCCCCTCGCGATCATGTATGCCGTAAAGTACTCGAAACGTCGGTAATATATACGCGATAAAATCGATAAAAATTAGTTTTATTCAAATCTCCGACCTTAGTTAATAGAATTCAAATTAAAAGATATATAATTTTGCAGTGGCTCCTGATCCTGATAATGTACAAATTAAATATATAGGTTGTACAATATATGTGTCCTATACCTTTAAAGGAGCAATTCTTGTATATATATATATATATATATATATATATATATATATATATATATATATATATAATCTTAATGACAGGGTAAGAAATTGTGTAATAAGAGATGAGTGTGGTTTGCAAGGTGATGTTGTGACCAGGATTAAGAAAGGAATGCTTCGGTGGTTTGGTCATGTGGAAAGAATGAATGTGGAATGAGTGACAAAGAAAATTTATGTTGCAGAAGTGAATGGCAGAGTCCGAAAGGGACGTCCTAGGCGAAAATTTATCGACCAAATTGGCGATTTATTGAAAACGGGCCAAATTAGGAGTACCCTTAACCGACGAGCGTGTATGCGGAGGTGTATGGATGTGAAGGAGGCGAGAGAGGTGTGTCAGGATCGTGCCAAATGGAAGTCTGTAGTCTCTGCCTACCCCTCTGGGTGACAGGCGTGAGTGTTTATGTATTATGTATATATGTATATATATATATATATATATATATATATATATATATATATATAATCGGAATCTCGGAAACGGCTCCAACGATTTTCATAAAATGTTGTGCGCAGGGAGTTTCGGCAATAAGTCGATCTAGCTAGGATTTATTTTTGAAAATGTCTTTTTGTCCGTGTTTTCAGGCATTGAAAAACTGCTACAATATCGTTAGAATGTAAATTTTAACAGTTTATTAATGATTACAAAAATTGGTATATTGGGCGGTCAGAAAATCGTAATACCATGGTTCGAGCCCAGACCGACTGACCGACTTTTATTAATTTTTATTTCAAGTTCCTTTCTTTTTTTGAGAAAATCTATTTTTTTCGAGCCCTTTTTTTAATATTTTTTAAGAAATACGTAAATTTAAATTAAACTCATTGCACTCATGATTTTTTATTCAAATAACCAGTTCAGTTTTTTTCTATTATGTCGCTAAGATCAAAAAATATTATTCGTATTTCATCAGTATGTGATTTGTATCTAAATATAATTTCCAAAACACACGAATTAAAAAAAAACGAGCGAAAAATACCGGGCAAAGCTCGGTCAACCGGGTACTTATATATATAATGTGCTGAATCTATATCTATACTGTGACGTATATTTTTTTGTTACTTTATTTAAAAAATACTCAAAAATTAAGTGCATATACGAAAGCTAACAAAGTTTAATAAAAAAAGTTGTGGTAATAATATATCAGTTAGTCACACCTGCCATTGGTACAGGTATACACGTGATACGTTTATTATTAATTTATGTAAGATTCAGAATTACTAATCTAACATATAAATAAAATTTAATATGAGTTATTTGCATGAAGTTAGGACACGAATAACATTTTTTTTTCTGTCTGTGCTCTATAACAGAATACATTAAGCTATCCAGGCAATGCCGGCGTAGGTCCCTAATTCACAATGTTTGAAAACAGAGAGATTTTTTTGCAGACTAGTTTAATTTGTCGGTAAAGAAGAATGTTCTATTTCATTCATAATGGTCTGATCTATATATTATATATTTTCCAACATAATCTTCAGTTTAACTAAGCAGTTACAAACTCTAAGTTAAGTGTGATAAATCTTTATACCAACTAAGTGTTTTTTTCCAATCCATATACAATGACTATTGAACTCGAACCTATAAGAAGACTTGAGTTTAATGCCTCCATATATAAATAAATATGACTTAATTATGCTATCAAGATTTCTATAAAATCAAATATTTTTTGCACTTATTATAAAGGTGACACAAGTATACGCCGAACAACATACAAATTTACTCAATAGTTTGAATGCACCTGTTTTTAATGTTAATAACACCAAATGGACCTGGAGATTACAGGTAGGCTAAGGTACGATGTCAGTGACAAAACAACCACATCCGAACCCAAAATCGACGCTAGAACTCCAATGTAGTCACATAAATCTCCATTTCATCTATTATAGCCCATAAAAGTTCACTGCTAATCATAGGTCTCTCCACAGAAACAGTAATAATAAGACAATAGAAACGAATTAGCGCTAGATTACTGCCAAAACTGATATCGCCACATCTTTACACATACGAATAGTAAAGTATTCATCTAGATGTAAATTAGTTAAATCAATGATAATTAGTAGATAATCAACTTACCAATGAAATGTTATGCCTTTATTAGTTGAATAACACGTCCTTGATGAGTTTTTACAACTGATTGTACTGCAGTGCACCATTATAATAATATAAATTCACGTATGTCGTTCCCCGCGCAACTAAATCACAAAATGGTGAATGATGTTCGTCAATACATCATAGCGTCGACAAGGTTTCCTGCCTATGTGACTTCTATTGTCTTATTATTAAAATTTCTGTGGGCTTCTCCTATAGATTTCTCCTCATATAGGGGTTTTGCCATAGTTGCCTATATTAGCAACCGCACTTTTTCTGAAAAGGCTGCAGCCCATCTCCTGCTTCAGTTTCCCCCCGCCACCTCTTACGACTCCCACGGGACCATATGGGGTAGTGAATATTCTTACACCGCCACTAACCGATGTACTATGATTTAGATAAAGATAATATTATATTACTACAAAATCTATTTTGTGTAAATAGTTTATACAATTGTATCACGAAAGGAAAAATTTAAATTCTCTAGATACGCAAATGTTCAATTGAATATATCATTTCTATACTATTTATATACACACCCCGGGATCTTTTGTCATATCTGCAGTATTTTCCATCTCACTTTCTTCTAAGTTTTGAAGAGATGTTTCTGAATGATACTTATTTTCACCGAGTTTTCTTCTGTTTATTATCTCCCCCATAACCTCTTTATGTATAGCTTGAGGATCTGTCATTGTAAAATACCTTTAACAACACTTATCAATAAAGAAATTTATTGTTATTGTTTCCTTTTTTACACAATGAAACAATAAAACGCCATTTTAATACAAAAATTAAGTGACTCAAACTGTTTATATGTGCTGTACAAAGTGTGATTTAGATTGCAAATGAATTAGTAAAAAATGTAATGATTATCAAGTTTTATATCAGATGAAACGTATCTATAATAAGGGTATACTTATCACTAACGGTTCATAATTTCCTCTTCATTTTTTTAATACATATTCGCTTTGTTGAGAATAATTTTTCGACTCAATTTGTTCGGAGTGAAGTTGAATAAATTAATCTATTTAATAACAGATTTTTTTTAGTAATGCTTTGCGTTTAGAGTCGTTTAATGTTGCGAAAATATTAAACCGAATTTAAAAGTATAATGTTTAAAAGTATATATGTATAAAAATTGTAAATAATTGAATATCTTTTAGTTCCAGTTTCGATATTAACGATATAAAAATATTTTACGTATCGAAACTAATTAGTAAGTAATTTTCAGTGCTTTATGATTTAGTAAGTACACAATTTATTCATGTTTTAATATTTTAATATTAATATTTCGAACAAAGAGCAATCATTTGCCGATTCCTTCTTCGGTAGATTTTGGAAATTGACTATTATTTCACGTATTCCTTACCTAAATGTAAATAGATCCTCGCGTAATGGGTTCAAAGTAATATTAATTTTTAACCGACTTCAAAAAAGGAGGAGGTTCTGAATTTGACTGTATTTTTTGTGTGTTACCTCAGAATTTTTTTAAGTGAACCGATTTTAATGATCCTTTTTTTATTTGAAAGCTGGTGCTTTTGAAGTGGCCCCATATAAATTTAATCAAGAGCTGACCAGTAGGTTTTGAGTTATCCTTTACAATGCGTATTTCATTGACTTCTACTACATTGACGTTCTCATTTTATTTATATTGAAGTTGGTTGCAATTTTTTTTACAAAAACAGACTTAATAGCACCTATTATTTTATTTGGAAAATCAGATAGTATTAGGCAGTACTAAACAAAAATCACCGGTTGTCACTGAAATTAACAAGAGGATAATTAGAGGGATAACCGGTGATTTTCGTTTTCATTGCATTACAATCAGTAAGGACATCGTCGTGTATTATGGATAAATCTGGCTGTGATGAGGAACGTATATTTGGTGGCTTTCTTAAAACTCTCATTACTCGTCGGTTAATTGTAAAAAGAAGGTAAAACTATAGTGACACGAGAGAAATATCATCCACAGATGATCTTTATATTATCATACACTACCCCTTTTACACAGGTACAGCTACTGCAATAACTTTTTCCTTTTTTCTGAATTTTTTACGTGATTGAGCCACGCTGCAGCTACATTACAGTTGTAGCACGAATGGGCCGGCTTGACCTGGGCAGGATCACGCACTCACAGAATACCAGCGTAAAATAGCAGCGTAATAATCTTTCTGTTCTCTGTTTTGTATAAAAAATACATTGACAATTATTAATTACAATGAATTCGCGGCAATTGGATTTGCTCATAATAAAAAAAAACGTAAAATGATCGTTATATTATCATACACTACCCCTTTTACACAGGTACAGCTACTGCAATAACTTTTTCCTTTTTTCTGAATTTTTTATAAAAAATACGATTGACAATTATTAATTACAATGAATTCGAGGCAAGTGGATTTGCTCATAATAAAAAAAACGTAAAATGATCGTTATATTATCATACACTACCCCTTTTACACAGGTACAGCTACTGCAATAACTTTTTCCTTTTTTTCTGAATTTTTTAGGAAGGGGCGGCTGCCGGGATTAAAAAATACATTGACAATTATTAATTACAATGAATTCGAGGCAAGTGGATTTGCTCATAATAAAAAAAAACGTAAAATGATCGTTATATTATCATACACTACCCCTTTTACACAGGTACAGCTACTGCAATAACTTTTTCCTTTTTTCTGAATTTTTTATAAAATACGTATTGACAATTATTAATTACAATGAATTCGAGGCAAGTGGATTTGCTCATAATAAAAAAAACGTAAAATGATCGTTATATTATCATACACTACCCCACAGGTACAGCTACTGCGTAATAACTTTTCCTTTTTTCTGAATTTTTTATAAAAAATACATTTACAATTATTAATTACAATGAATTCGAGGCAAGTGGATTTGCTCATAATAAAAAAAAACGTAAAATGATCGTTATATTATCATACACTACCCCTTTTACACAGGTACAGCTACTGCAATAACTTTTTCCTTTTTTTCTGAATTTTTTATAAAAATACGTATTGACAATTATTTTACAATGAATTCGAGGCAAGTGGATTTGCTCATAATAAAAAAACGTAATGATCGTTATCATTATCATACACTACCCCTTTTACACAGGTACAGCGTAGCTGCGTAATAACTTTTCCTTTTTTCTGAATTTTTTATAAAAAATACATTGACAATTATTAATTACAATGAATTCGAGGCAAGTGGATTTGCTCATAATAAAAAAAACGTAAAATGATCGTTATATTATCATACACTACCCCTTTTACACAGGTACAGCTACTGCAATAACTTTTTCCTTTTTTTCTGAATTTTTTACGTGATTGAGCCACGCTGCAGCTACATTGTAGTTGTAGCACGGATGGGCCGGCTTGACCTGGGCAGGATCACGCACTCATAGAATACCAGCGTAAAATAGCAGCGTAATAAACTTTCTGATCTCTGTTTTTTATAAAAAATACATTTACAATTATTAATTATAATGAATTCGCGGCAATTGGATTTACTCATAATAAAAAAAAATCGTAAAATGCTCTGTAGTTATTCGTTAGAAAGATAGCAAAATTTAACAAAATATGACTATTCAAAGCTCACTTATAGACTGATAATCTAACTTGAACTTGAATCATAACACAGTGTTTTCAGCTTACTTCTACAATAAAGACATTAATTTAAACTTCACTAACCCGTAAACGTTCGCTGCAAATATGAAGTTCTCATATCGTTAAAACTATATTCCATGACAGCTGTCTCTATTTTAAAAATAATTTTTCAAGAATAAAAAGAAGCTACAGTTTAGACGGATAGGTAATCTTCATCTCCTATCTTTGACGTTGCTTTCTATCGTCAGTGAAGATTCAGTAACATTTCAGGAGTGCGTGTGCTGAAACTTTATGATCAGGGATAGATTATAGAAAAAGGCACACTGGTTGGTACTTGTGAGGAAGTGAATCGGTTGTGTCGGTGCCAGTATCTATCGATTGTGACCCAACAAGAATGCACATACAAGAGTGACCACACTTTTTTTAGACTGTCGCAGCGTTCCCGAGGAAGGAAATGAAATGGTCAAGGCGATAAAGTTGTTACTCAAGTACAACCAATGTTTTCTCGTCAAACGATGCTGACAAGGAAAGACTGGCTTAGTTAAATATAAAATAAACACAGAATCAGATTTGATTATCTATCAGCGGCCAAGAAGATTGATTGAAGGATGGTGTTATTGAACCTTCATGTAGTCCATGGTGTTCACCTGTGGTGCTAGTAAAGAAGAAGGACAGCAGCATGCGGCTTTGTGTTGACTACCACCATCTAAATGACGTTACGAAGAAGGACAGCTATCCCTTGCCAAGATTGGTGACACGCTGGATACGCTTACAGGAGTAAAGTGGTTTAGCACACTGGATCTGGAAAGTGGCTACTGGCAAATTGAAATTGACCCTAAGGCCAAAGAAAACACTGCATTCTCAACAAGATAGGATACGTGGCAATTTAAAGTTATGCCGTGTGGATTGTGCAATGCTGCAGCAACGTTTGAAATTTGGTTAATCCTAACAATACCTCACTGACAGTGGTTAATTACAATGACGATGTAGCCTAAGATAGTGAAACGATAATCTTGATGATATTCGTATTGTAATCGAATGGAATGATAGACGCTGAAAACTTATTCTACTCGTTTGCTATACACATGACGAAAGATGTATATGTAGGTATGATTGGTTTTAAGCAGATTCTGATCACCAATAAGCCTCTTAGCGCGCCTTTCCAATAAGACCTAAGCTGTTAAATGGCATTTTGCAGCACAAGCTCATGTATGGCTGCAATACTCCATGCATGATCGGACTTGTGCTTTATATAGATTAAGGAACTGTCCCGCGGTGAATAACCACCGCACCTTTGCAAGGACTTCTAGCTTCCTTCCAGCAGCTTTGGCCTTGGACTCAATGAAATACCCGTAGTTCAGGTTTGAGAGTATCTCGACCCCCAGCTAAGGATGGTAGTTGGTGTTGGTGTATGCAGGAATGGAACCTTTTATTCCATCATCTGTGGATCCTATCGGTGGCAGAATCTAGTTTGGTCGTTCCTGCAAAATTGCACTACGCCATAAGCAGGAGTGCTACCAGACCTAGGTTGACGCATCGATGTCTCGGGATGCAAATACCAGCGCTCTTAAAAATTAGTATAATTCCACCTCAAGGTCATTTAAAAGTGTCATTGTCTAAGCAAAGTCAGAGCATATCGGTAGGATTGGCAAGAAAGAAGTTCGACTTCTTTCAGGAACATGTGCATTCTGGTCTCTTGCCAAGGTTGTCCAAAGAAACTTCTGTCAACGATCTCTCCTATCTCTGCACAAGGAGGATGACTCACAGGCCCATGCAGCAAAAGACAAAACCGATCTGCTGGGTTCTCTCTTTGCGTCCAACTTGACTCTTTATGACGAGGGGAACACACCGCCGACCATTTCACGGTGTGAGTCCTCCATGTAGGATGAGTTGTTTACCCAGCGCTCGGTGCGCAGAGTACTCCTCTCCCTGGACATCAATAAGTCAAGTAGACCTGATTGCGTCCCCCCTATTGTGCCGAAAACGTATGCTCCGGAGTTGCAACCGGCTTAATGTCTCTTTTCCGGTACTCTGCTGCTTTAGTGCACCCGATCCCTAAAAAAAGGCCACCGCTCAGATCTGTCTCACGGATATCCGGCACATCGCTATCACTTTGTTCTCCAAAATAAATGTATCCATTATAAACTGCTAGCTCATGAGGTACCTTGAGGATCACCAGCTGATAAGTGACTGTCAGTACGATTTCCGTCACTCAGCTGTAGTCGTAGTAGATGGTGCATGCTTCGATTACAAACCAATTAAGGCTGATGTTCCAGGCTGCGTGCTATTCAACAACGCTGTTTCTTACGCATATTAATCACTCCGAAGTCGAGACTAAATAAATTCAAGGACTGGAGGCGACTAAATCTAGTCCAGTTCAATCCCCAAAAGATATAAGTTTGCGCGTTTACCGCTATACAGAACTCCTTCGTCGTATGTCCTGTTTCAAAGCACTCTCCTTGTTCTCTTAGTCAGTATTGGGATCCTCGATGTCGACATATGGAGTGACATGCAGTTTCATGGTCACTTGGAAGAGAAGGCCAAATCTGGAAGGCCAAGGCTTCTAAAATGCTAGGTGTGCTAACAGAGCGGGACAGTATTTCATGTCGTCACACCGCTTGCAATTTGACAAGGCGCAGGTTCGGCCGCACATGGAATACTATTCCCATATGTGGGCTGGTGCTTCCCAGTGCCAGCGCCTTCCATTTTGATCACATCCAGCGCAAATCCGTTCGAATCGTCGATGATCGAGCTCTTTCCGATCGTCTTGGTTTACTGGCACTGCAAACAGTTGTTACGTTTCTTTGCGTATTTTATCGTATTTACCACGGAGAATGCTTTGAGGTATTGTACGGACTAATTCTAGCCGCACAATTTCACCATTGCACCTCGCGACAAAGCTCGTGGTACTCCATACCCATACCATCTGGATGACTGGCGATCCACCACTGTGCGATTTAAAAGAAATTTAGTTCCTAGCACAACTTCCTTGTGGTATCAACTACTATCAGAGAATTTTCCGGACTGATACAACTTAGAGACCTTCAAGAAAAGAGCCTTCTCCTTTTTAAAAGGCGGGCAATGCATCTGCGATTCCCCTGGTGTTGCACTGTTTATAGGCGGCAGTAATCACTTATCATCAGTTGAGCCGTATGCTCGCATATAATTCCTATATAAAAAGCAGGCATGTAATATACGCTCCATAATCTTACCTGGTTATCTGTAGGTCATACTTGTCTGGTTTGGTAATCAACAGAAGGTCCAAGCATTTGGCAGTGTGATCGTCTACTTCGGGAACACTAGTCGCTTTCTTTACCAGCTGGGAAAGACCTAGTGTTAAGGCAAAATTCACAGCTTTTTTCTAGCATGGTTAGTATTCTGTTATAGGAACAACCTGTTTTGGTGACAGGTATTTTTTAAGAGAATTAGGGTAACAAGTCCATCTAGTGGTAAGTGGATGCTGTGGCCCATATGGGACATCAAGGTAAGCATATATACATATATATGCACATTTATCTACCTCGATTAAGAATCAAAATATTACCTCCTAGGACTAAGATGGAATGCCTTGTTTCCAGTAAAAAGTGTATCGGGTCCTTTACCCTCACGATTTAAAACACTGCAGTATTACGATCTATTTAACGCTGGTATTCTGTGAGAGCGTGGTATCCCGGTCGAGCCAACCCATTCATGTTAAAACCATAATATCGCTGCAACATTGTTCTACCACGTACAAAACCTTCAACATGTCGTTGGTGTTGTACTTGGTTTACACCGTCTTGACGCCATTTTATAACTCAGTAATACACAACAACGGATGTTACAGCCGTGATAGACAAGTAAACACTCACTACTGTGCCTTACGCAAGTATTATGCAATTTGATACCACTTTGATGCACGAGTAAAACTTCTTACGGTTTCTTTACTCGGCAAAATGGTTGCCAAATACTACCGACAACTGCTGCTCGTAAAATCATTTAAAAACTTCAAACCCTTCCTTCTTTTTTCCAATCTTCCACATTTGAGCCCCGAGATTCAGCCTCGCTCCAAATAATCGCGAGGCTGATCACGACCAAAATATTTTCTAAAACGACTACGCGAACTGGATGGCATACCAACCCACATGTCAAACACCTCTTGAGTCAGGTTGAGATATTAATTTTGTTTATGATTTTAGGTTTCACATTTAACGAGGTCCTCGTCACCTGGAATGGTAATAAAGACCAAACGTACTATCCTTGAGGGTTTTCAGTCCATCATTACAAAACCAGACATATTCGGAAATTATCAGTTACGTCCCTGTAGACTCCAACGTGGTCATTTTCGACTACAGTCTCCGGAAAATCCTTTTTATTATTACTGCTTTATTATAACTGCGGCCAATAATGATTTCTTTACTTTTGTTAATTTTATCACAGATTATTTTTTATGTTTATTTAATATAGACCCACTGTTTAAGTATGTCACACACTTCATACTAAAAATATTAGCTCAGGTATTGTTTATTTAATAATATAGTAGAATTTTTGTTACTTATTAACAATAATCATCATAATCATCATCATTTCAGCATGACGCAAGTAACTGTACTAAACTGTACAAAACTAAACATAGCCAGGGAATGCCATAAAACACCGTGCTGGGTCGACTTTCTGCAACCCGTCTAGTAGCTGCCTGGCAGCTGGTCAATCCATCTAGTAAGGGGCCGCCTTATACCATGTTTCTCAGTACGCAGAAGTTGCAATATGAGAAAGTTTATTCCCCATCGATTATCAGTTATTTTAGCTATGTCTGGAAAATTGTAAATTAATCTTACTGATGTCGTTTTTGATCTCATTAATCGCAATTCTCAGTCCGGATTTATTACCTGTACAGTGATGAAGGAAACGACGGGAGAAATCTTGCACGCAATAAACATTTTTCAAAATCGTATGAAATCAGCAATTTGCATTATAGAACACTTATAGCACTATACGCATATAGCACTTTTTCCTCCATAATCCTAACAAGAACAAGATCAGTCATCAGCAGTGGTAATTACCAATTATTAAATAATAAAAATAACTTCTCAGTAACATTTTTATTTCAATCATTGTATATATAATAATGAAGTATGATGTAATACAATGATATGCACCGTAAATAATTTAAACGCTGCATTCCATTAGCAGGAACAGAATATGTAAGTTTGCTTAAGTACACTAGACCAATGAAAGCAAACCTGTCATGAGACAAGCACATCGACGACTGAAAAATCTACAATACTGAAATGGGTGGAAGGCTGTTAGGGCAGACTTGATGCATATGATGTACAAAACTAACATCAAAATAAAGTTTTCAAAGTTATATCACCGAAACAGCGGTAGAGCATCGTTTGCGACGGTCTAGACATTGCGACAAAACAACCGCCGAATAAAAATCGGCCGCCTTTCTGATGGTGGATAACCAGGAATTTGTAATGAAGTCAAATGAAGATAGGATAATATACAAGTAATGCTGACTGAATAAAGGATCGAGCCTTGTTAAAAGTAGAGTTAACTGTAATATTAAAACTATGATTTCTTGTAATTTTTTTATAAAAAGTTTTAACTGAATTCAAAAAAGTTTTATTAAGTAAGTGTATTTTTTATGAACCTCAGAATTTTTTTGGATAAACCGATTTTGATGATTCTTTTTTTATTTGAAAGCTGGTGCTTCTCGTATGGTACCATATAAATTTGATGAACTTTAACAATAGTTTTTGAGTTATCCTTAATAATGCGTATTTTAGTACGACTTAGAATATATTGATGATGTTCTCATTTTATTTATATTGAAGTCGGTTGAACAAAATTTTTAGTTTTACCACTTATTAGCGATTAATTTTATTTGCGTGACAACTACATGAGGGTCATTGTTTGACCATGGTCAAACAGTGGGGAATGTCCCATCGTAAGTTCTTTATTTTTTAATTTATCCTTTGTCTATGAGTATTGCAAGCATTCAAACGCCGTTAATTAAATTAAGTAGTAAGAAGTAAAATTAAACGCTATAAAAACCATAAAATTATTTTATTTGAAAATAGTTTTACATGACTTCGCATTTTAAGCACTATATATTATAAATATTATTAAATATCCGATATTCAGACGGATAATTATAAGTATTTCGCTGAAAAGGGGACACTAAAAAGTTGACCCGAATAGGCCTACTATTACCGGATAGTAATCAGATAATCGTTCCATTTCTATTCAATAGCATAATTTTAATCCCCTTCCGAGGTATAAATAGTTATTGAAAGTGTGTATAGATAAATATAGAATTAAGAAAATATTATTACCTAAAAAAATCAAAAAAATCAAAGCAACTAGTTTTATAATGAAGCACATAGAATACTATAATACACAATAGAATGGCTGTCAACTTTATTTTAAACGAGGATTGGCGTCGCCAAACCCGATTCGCTGTGTTGACAGACCGAGTAAATTTTAGACTTTTGATTAATGTTCAAGATCATCATTAAATTTTAATACATATTTATATCGTAAATAGGGTGCTAATATGCCATTTTCTCGAATTAAACAATTTGCATGCGAAATTTGGAAACGATTGTAACGTCAAAACACATTTCGTGTTGACATTTGTACGTGAGAATTGTCGTGTTAGTAACATTTTAGTGGCTATGCGGGCTCCGCCCACTCCCCCGTTCTATTATGTATGTAACAAAGTATTCTATGATGAAGCAGATAATAAATATGTTCCATATTATAAAATTAAAACAAAATATTGTTCGAAAATATTAGTTGACATAAATTAATCATATAAAATTTTGCTCAATTCTTCCTTCAGTTCTAAATTAAATTCTGAAACCGGGAACGCCAACTCTTGCGTTATGGATGTCGACGACTTCTGTTGGACCACATAGTCTGATGGCACTACAAACAACTTCTTTTCACCATGACTATCCATTGTTTTAAAGTACGGTGGCATTGGTAAGTAATGTCGCATTTTTAACCATTTATAAAAGGTTTTAGTTGAACTGTAAAAAGTGAAAATGAAGTACATTTTCTGTTTATTTTTAGCCGTATACTTCCAATTATAGTAATACCTATTTACATATAAAATAACTCATCGGAGTATACATTTTAAATCTGCAATACGAAAACTTAACATTATTTCTACTTACGTTAGATGCTGTATTTCTCCCCATACGCATGACATAGATCGAAGATCTTCTGGTATCTTTACGCCATGCCAAATGTTCTTAGTGTTGTTTCGCGGAGGAATGTGCTTCAGTTTTTGTGGCAGACATTTACCAAATGCTTTTGTATGAGCTGGACTACTTTCTGCTCGAATGTCAGACGCTATTTGCCTTTTCAGAAAATTTTGACATGAAGCCTGGAGTGAAAATAAGTTCACAAGACATTTCTATCAGTTGATTATTTCTTGCATATACTAGCTATGCATTACAATGGTCATACTTCATAAATGATATAAGGATACGGGACGGAGAAAATTTGTTTAACTATATGCATATTTTTATATAATTTACATAATATAGTCAAGGTGGTTCGACAGACCTTGACGTGTCACGTTGTCCTTACATTTTAACAGTGTAAAAATAAAGTGTACATAACTTGATCTTAGCCACCTCTCGAGTTCAGAGTTTATGATTTTCTTTTTTGGCACTGACATTGTGAATTCACTTTGGTCCAAAATTATAAAATATTAACAGCGTCACCTGTCGGATTCTAGCATAGCTACAAACCATCGTCTCGAAATTACTTTAAGTTTAAGTTGTTTAGTTCATATATTATATAAAATGTGTTCTCTTATTCTCCTTAACTTTTATTTAGTAACAGTAATGCTGGAATTATAACTACCTTTGGCACGCCAACATAATCAGCAATACTTTGATTGACGCAAGGAAGGGTTTTTAGCTCGAGTCTTAAACCTTGAGATGCATGTTCATCAAACCAAACCTGAAATATTTTAACATTATAATTTTTTTTAGTACTTTTAAGGAACTCCCTTTACTCTTTTTTAATTTTTGATACCTGAAATAAATCCTCAATGTCTTCTGGACGTCTAATTTCGCTTTTATATTCTTCGTTACCTAACCCAGTCCACCACTCGAAAAATTCTGCCGCAATCTAGATAAAAATAAAAGTTAAACACTTAATTTTGTATTCAAACATATGAGCAATAACAGTTGAAAATTTATAAATTATTTGTAACTATTTATTTTAAATGGTACTAGTTTTAGAATGGTTTATTTTACTTTTTTAGTAGCGATTTCTGCTTTTTTATTGAATTCATCAGAAGCAGAAACATCAAAATCTTTTTGTTTGAATTTAGATTCCCACTTCATCATATCAGTTTCCGATTCATTGCAATATAAAAAATCGAAATGTGGATTTTGAATATTTCCAATTTTCCTGCAAAATAAAACCAAATTAATAGAAATAATATTCATGTATTATTGAATGACTTGCATAAACCAATAAAAATAGTTTTATAACATAATTAACATATATGTAACATATTTGGTTGCTAAGAAAATATAGATAAAGATACTTACATATCTATAACACTTGGGTGTACTTTTAAGTCATCATCAGACTTTGGAGGCGTATCTTCCGAGCAACGTTCTGAACTAAAATATTTAGATTTCCGGGAAAGTGATCGTGAAACTTTCGAAGTAAACTTTGGAAAAGACTTTGCAGTTAATTTTGGTGTCGATTTTAAAACGCTTAATGACTTTGACCTTGTGGATGATCTAGAGCGTATTAACTTTTTATATTCTGAAGACATATGAGACGTACCGTCAAATGTTCAGATTGTTCTTTCGTTTGTCCTTCACTTAGTGATTGGCTCACATCGATCATAGAAAATGTTATCCGATTTTGAGGTTGCGGAGGTTGCTATAAAAAGGTAAATCTAAATAAATATTGTATGAGAGACATTCGATACTTATAAATTACATAAAACGTCATGCGTTTTTTTCAATATCTGTATAGCTAAATCTACATAAAAATTGGTAAAGACATTCTCTACCTAATATTAAAATATGACCCTTAGATATATTTAAGTCGATGGGTGGAGGTAGCGTGCTTTGTTGTATACTTTGGGAGAGGGATTTATATTATTTGGTCTTTGTTCAGCAACGGACTTGTGAAAGGCTGTAAGGATTATGATGATTAAGAAGTAGAGGAAGATATGTTGTTTTGTGAAAGTCTTTTATAATGTTATTGATACTTAGATGTTAAAGTTGCGTGATTTCTAATTAAAATTATTTCGCTTAATATTCATCAAAAAAAAAATATTTGGTACATTCACAATTAGTTTTACGAGTCATTAATGTAACCATTAAATACTTCGGTAAGTTTGGTTTTGAGCTTATATTTGAAAGTACTTCAAGCTATACTCATTTCTTTGGGTGCAACATGTACATGTACTCTTTCCAAACCTTTTTAGTCGATAATATTTTTATTATATGATACGAAACTAAAATGTCTTGGAAAAAAGATAAAACTATTTTATTGATTGAAAAGTGAAGTTTATTTTTCAGCACAAAATTTTAATAAGGTGGTAATTTCGCTTTTGTATGGAGGTCGTGTAGTGGCAACATCAGAGAATCCACTATCGCATATCATCTCGTGAGTGTCGTTAGCAGCGACAGTGTAACAGGAGACAGGCCGCAGCATCTTCCTGATAACAAAATAATAAACAAAAACTGTGGTTACCAACCCGCCTCCCGAACCAGGTTGTGATTAGCAGTGGTTTTTTATAAGCTGCAATAATGGACAAGGTGAAAATTACGTCACATACGACACTTTTTGATAAAAATGCTGATTTTTGTTTGCCGGTAGTAGTGTTCGTTAATTCGTAGGTACGTATCAACTCAAGCGTATGTTTTTTTTATCATACATGTTACATAATGTCTAAACATTACGTGTATTGACGTGAATTTTCGCGAAAATTCAATCAGTACCTTATTTTAGATAACAATGTGATGATCAAATTGCAAACTGAACGTAAATTCTTTAACTCAAAATGAGTTCTGATTTTCCACTATCAGATAAAAGTCTTACAGAACAAAATACAATTTAAATAAATTAAAGATAAAATAAAATAAAATAAGTCAATTCGTGTTTTTTTCGGCAAACTTTTTTCTTATGTTCAAAAATACATACATAGATAGATGATAAAATATGATATTATCCTTGGTGTGAGAAAAATTTGACACGGTTATGAGTTACGTGACTCTTACTTCTTTGAAAGATGTTGCTTCAAAAAATTGTTCCGAAGACAGTTGTGAAATATCTTCTTCTGGAGGTTCATATTTTTTTGATTCCGACGGTAAATCAAAAATTTTTATGATTCGCTTGAATATAACTGGTTCCAATATATCTCGAACAGTACTGTATTGAGACTCCCAAAACTATCAAAAATAACAAAATTGAACATAAAATTAGTTAAAGTTACAGCCCCTATATGTCCCACGGCTGCGCACAGATCTCCTCTCATTTATAAGAAGTTAACAGATATAGTAGTGCACAGCGCTGCACCAATTAATGTTGGCAGATTTCACGTCATATTTTCAAAATATATAATTTCTTATACATGCAGTTTTCTTCACGCAATTTTCGTTTACCGCCAGGCGCGTGGTAAATTAGCATGAAGAATTGTAGGAAATATTTTTTTCTCTTTACACTTTTTTTTAAATAAAGAGAACATTTATAACTTTATTGGCGGAGGGCATCGACCCTAGGTCGTTCGCGTAATTTGAGGTTTACATCGAGCGTTTAGCCTCAGAGCAGCAACGGCTTTCATAATAACTCTTCAAGGAAATTAATAAGTAAGAACATACTGTAAATGTTTGATTATTATTTATATTATATAAAACAAATTCTAATGAGAACTTCTAATGGCAACCTCACCTGCACTGGATGTTCTGGTTCTGACATCACAGTATTTACCTGTCATTGGTCCGGGTAATTTAATATATGTCATACTTAAAACTGTACTTAAGTTATCCGGACCCATGATGGTTGATGTCCTCCATTTGCTGGACGCCACCAGATCTTTCATTACTATTAGTTGGTTTTACGATACCAAGAGGATATGTTGCCATAATAGATTTACTTACACCGTCACTACACGTCATGCAAATATTAAAACTGAGTTTTATATTGCATAATACTACAGAATTAATTTTCTGAATTCAAATGTCATAGACTGGAAATTGGAATTAGAATCATCAGTGGAAAGTCGCCTCTGCAATCACTAAGCCGCGTGGTCGAAAGTAAAAAGTTCCAGCGTCTAGGGTTTGGGAAAATCTTCTATGTAATAAAGCTAGCCTGCGAATTCTTGGAAATGGAATCATGATACGACGTGAGTATCACTCTCAAAAATTGGAAGCAATTTGATCGCAAATCCGACCATTTTGGAAAAGATAATATTGCAGTTGTATATTTTACAGATGACCATAAGTAAGTATACACTCGTATTATGTTATTTATTAGAATATTGAAACCTTTATTGGTGATAGTTTTGTTCTAAACATTAAAAAAAATAAAAATAGTTTTTCCGTGCGTAGCGGCATTGAGAATTCATAACCCCATTTTGTTCGTCATGGCTTTCCGATAGATGGCGGTATTACTATCTCTTTCGCACCAGACGTAAAATGCCAAGAATGGGCGACGGGCAGCAGCGTTTAAGCTGCAAGACGTCTGGTACTGATTCCGCCTGCCAAACGTAACGTTTAAGACAAATACGAGTATAACGGGATATACACGTATCGAGCTGTGAACTTATACAGATTGATGACGACGATGATGATAAATAATAATTTTAAGCTAAAAACTTTACGAAGAATTGCATGACCTGTTCATCTTTATAAGAGGATTCCAAGCATCGCACTACATTTTTTCAATGAAGTTTAACGGATGCTTCGTTTTGTTCATATGGAGATGGCTTGATTACTCTTAAATTCTTCGGCTTGTCCCAATTTTTTTTAGGAGATCGCTGGCCACAGGACATGTCAAATTTATTATTTGTATGTATTTTTTCTCAAATCTATAAATAGAAAAAATAAATTTAAATATTTATTGTGAATGAAAGATAAAAATCACAGTGCCCTCAATAACATAGATTATTATTTAAATATTTAAACTCAATACTTTAAAGTTTGACGCGTTTCAATTTGTTATCAAGAACGTCAAGAACGTAAAAGACGTAAGAAACGTAGTGATTCTTAGTGATTTATATACTCCATAGATTACTATATATATATTTGATATACTCTTTGGTCTCTACCTAGATCGTAGACAGAGAAACCTATAGACAAACTGATGCCTTCTTTCGCATTTGCATACGAAAAAGATAGATTTATGCATACGTCTTGCATAGAAATGAGACAGAGCGGTGTGATTGTTTGTCCCTTTCTCCGTGCCGGTTTTTTTGTTTAGCAAACTGCACTTTGCTAAACAACTTTGATTTTTTTGTTTCTTGACTTTGAACTTCTTTGACTTTGAACTTTGGTTTACGCGAGAAAAAAGTGTTTGAGCTTAAGATTGGTGAATCTTGTTCAGTTCAGTTCTTAGAACAATTAAAATTTTCATCTAAATATGTTTAAAAGTCATAAAGATTATTCTATAACCTAAAACTACCTTATCGTCCTTTCTCACTCGAGGCCACGCTAATCATTAGTCTATAGGCTTCTCTGTCTATTCCAAAGAGAGCCTACATTTTAAAGTCAAACTATCCAACCATAGTGCAAAACAGGAGGGGAGTAACCATAACGTTATTTTCCGATATCAAATTGCCTCATTTTTGCGGGGGAAAATCTGCGCTACGCGCACTTTCTCTTTTTTTATAGGAGAGAGGGTAAACGATCATACGGGTCACCTGATGGTAAGTGATTACCGTCGCCCATGAACAGCTGCAACACTAGGGGGATTGCAGATGCGTTGCTGGCATTTTAAAAAGGAATAGGCTCTTTTCTTGAAGGTCCCTAAGTCGTATCAGTCCGGAAAAATCTCTGGTGGTAGTTGATTCCACAAGGAAGTTATGCCAGGAAGAAAACTTCTTTTAAATCGTTTAGTGGTGGACCGCCAGTCATCCAGATGGTATGGATAGTATCGCGAGTCTTATCGCGATGTGCGATGGTCAAACTGTGCGGCTGGAATTAGTCGGAACAATTCCTCAGAGCACTTCCCGTGGTGATGCGATAAAATACGCAAAGAGATGCAACATCTCTTTGCAGTGCCAGTGAGTCAAGCCAATCGGAAAGAGCTCGGTTGCCAACGATTCAAACTGCTCTGCGCTGGATGCGATCAAATGGAAGGAGTTGGCCCTGGGGAGCCCCGGCCCAGAGATGGGAACAGTATTCCATGTGCGGCCAAACCTGCGCCTTGTAAAGTTGCAGGCAGTGAGCCGGCATGAAATACTATCCCACTCTTTTCTTAGAATCCCACACAAAAATAATCGTCTGTCATAACGAAACTTACACATAAGAATTAAAATAATACTCTTAGGGTACATACATACGTATGCATAGAGAGAAATTACAATTCTACATAAGTTGAGTAATATACCTACTTGTCTCGTTTTTTTTTCTAATTTAATTTTCAAATAAGACAAAAAAAGCTATTGAAAGAAGTTGCTTGTAATTCATACGTGAAAATAAAAATGTCAAGTGGTCATCTTTGGTCTTTTTATACTATGGCAAATATGAGAGTAAGTACACTCGTATATTTTGATATACTAAAAAAATGACATCCCTATTGTAATAGTATGTGTGACGTTGCTTTACAAGGCATGACGTTTTTAATCTATAGTGATTTTTTTGCAATATTGGCAACAATTTGCATAGAGATACTCGTTTTTGTTAGCTTTATTAATGTCTAGCTGGCGAATCCACATCATTTTTCATCATTTCTGACTGACTACATCATTTTTCAATTTTTTTATAGCCGGCAATAAAATAGGATTTATCGAAATGTTTCGAATATATCCGTGGAAATTTCTTCTTCTTATTTTTTGGCTATTGAATATTTATTTGGCTCCCAGTTATCACGTGTGACAGCGTTATTGCACTCACATCCTATTTTTGAGCATTATGGAAATCTAAAACATAATTGTTACAATAAAAACACGGTAATAAAAATATTTTCGGAAACTTAATTAGTTGGGAAAAGTCTGCGGGAAAAACCGGAACTAGGAACTGACAAAACTCAGCGGTTCAGTGAACTCGTACTGGGCGACCCACCACTACATGTAGAGACGAAAATAGAAGAAATACGCAGGTAGTCGATAGATGCAGGTGTTTCAGAACCGTACTTTGTTCTTTGTTCTGGCTTTTTTTAAGCTGCATTAGTACAACTAATACCATAGTCACTTGCAACATTAATTTGTGTTACATCTAATATTCTCAAGAATTCTTAAAAAACAAGCAACTTAACACAGTGCTATGTTGCCATCACTTTACGCGCAACACTATATTTGCACGTGGCTTAGTTTATCTTCTAAGTACTGGAATACGACACGCTTTATATTTGCTGAAAAAGGTACCTAGAACAAAATTATAACTACCTGCAACAAAATTAACCCTTCAATCCTCATAAAAATCCCATGCGCCCGGCAAATCACGAGTCGCAAGCAACCCCACCCACCCACAGCACTTAAAACTATTAAAACTTATATTTAGAGACTACTTTTCTAAGAAGTTTGGCATTATAAAATCTTTACAAAATTCTCTGTCATGTGGTCTAAACAAAAGTCAGGTTTTACTTCATTAAAAAATATTTTTTGTATTTTGATAACAAAATAAAAAACATACCAAGCGAATGTCAGCACTGTGAAGATCACAACAATTTCAATATATATTACTCAAAATTATATACGTAAAAAGATAAATTATGTTCACACAAAAACTTTCATTACAATTTTATAATAAAACACTATACTAAAACACTAATAAAACACTATAAAAATCCAAAAATCAACAAAATAACATTCACGCGAAAATGACGTAGGAAATGAACGTAGGTTATAAATAAATATCCATAGACTCACTAACTTTTTATTCCACTAGAGAACAGAAAATTTTATATTGATTCTATAATGCCAAACTTCTTAATAGAAAAGTAGTCTGTAAACATAAGTGTTTATAGGTTAAAGTGCTGTGGGTGGGTACGGTCACATTTCACCTCTTGAATTTTTGACGGAATATCGAAGCGGTCAAATTTGGACGCTTGCAGTTTGAGAGGTTAAACATATTATAAGGACGTTACTTATCCTTATTGTTGTTGTCAATCCAACGCTTCTGATATTTACTCCTTATCAAAATTAATGACGTGTTATAGATACTAGATTTGTTTAAAGACTTTTGAAGCAGACAATTTTTGCTGCGTAGTTATCGTTTTTTTGAAGTATGCGGAATATAGAAACTGTAGAAGTTGTTTGGTAATTGTCCTGATTTACATTTAACACTTACCATTAAGGCCTGTTTATGATTACAATTTTACCATAAATATGAACTTCGTATATAATAAAAAATAAAGGTGAAAAATAAAAAGCTGTATTTTAATCGATACAGTTTATGTTACCATTTCTTTGAATCGGAGGACAAATCTGTATAGGAAAGTTGTAAGAATTTAATAAAAAACTTTTTCATAAAATTTGTAAAGCAATCAAATGAGGACGAAACAAAATGAATGTGTAGAGATTTTTATTAAAAGATATTATTGCTTCATTAAATTTAATATTCAATATGGTTGATATACTACGGAATAACTCTAGAAGTTTTAAAAAGACTAGAAGTTTCTTTTTAAAGAAAATATTTGCACTTTCTTTTAAAAATTCGTTTATTTGTAACATTAATTTTGATAATTTCATCGTTTCGCAATACGTTTAATAGATCGTGTAATACATAACATTAAAGAACACATACATCACTGGTAAT